TGGGGCCAAGTTTGTGTTCATACCCACAGTCTAGTACACGTGGACTGTCAGCACTGGAAAACATCGGGCGCTTCCCCCACCCACCCCAGCCCCGCCTGGTATGTGTTGGCAGATACGGCCCAGCGGAAACTGTGAGAGGCTGGCTCTGATCCAGCTTCGACTCAGTGCCTGCAATGGGCTGAACAACCAGTCTGGGATTTCCAGTATTACCTTAGCAGCCTTACCCCTGGACCTTTCTCTTGAGTCAACAACCAACCGTTGCCACTGAGGCTCCCAGTTAGGGACTCATAGCAGGCTTTCAGGGAGCTGACTTAGGCCCTTAGGCCCAAGGGGCTAGAGAACCCAGAATGTCCCATTCCAGAGTCTGGATCTGGTCAGAATGGGCTCCAGGGGCAAGAGGCAGAAAGGAGTTTCCTGGGGGAGGTGGGCTGACTCTGCCAAAGAGCTGGGTCCTCCATCGTTTAGCGCCAGGGCTGGCCAGGTCACGTGCCCTTACACTCTCCTTTGCCTTGCGGCTGCTCTTCCTGAAGTTAGCTCACTGACTGTTGGCTGAATCCCACCAAGCCAAGGGGAGGGCGTGGGTGCCCCAGAGTGGAGTAGGGGCCTGGCCATGACTGGTCTGAACGTTTTACATGGCAAGGGGGCCAGGCTGCCAGGCTGCCCACCCTGGAGAGGCCAATAGCCCCCCCGCCCCCATTCAGTGCCATCCAATTCATTCTGCTGATTAAGGCCTCCTCCAGGGTCAACCCACCGATGCCCTTCTCCTTCATCAGGTTCCTAGTTTCCTGATCACGTAGCTGGGTTTTGAATCCATGTCTTCTTTTTATTGCCCTTAAGATCCCTCCCATCCTACCTTCTCCAACAGCAAAGGTACCCTTTCTCCATTATGCCACCCACCCCCTGCATTGTGCTGCAGCAAAACTTCACATGCTCACCCAGAGATGAAAAAGCAGATGTTGGGGGGTGGGGGGGCAAGTGCGATCCTCAGCTAGGGCAGAAAGACAATTTTTCTGTTTGCTCTTTTCTTTCAAGACACATAGTAAGATCAAGGGAAAGAGAGGCAGGAATATTCTCCTAGCTGTTTTTTTCCCAATCCAAACAGAGTTGTGGGGGGCAGGTAGAAAGACTGGAGTGGGGTGGGGTGGGGTGGAGGGTGGGGATGAGTGGGAGGAGACAGGAGTAACAAGCAGCAACACAGCTCACCGCCCTCCCTCCACCCCACCTCCATAGATAGGAGCCCTGCCAAAGGACAGGTTGGGAGGGGGGCACCTCAAGGAGGGAAGAAATGATCCTCTTCCACACAAAAGAAAAAAATAATGACGGACTTTATTTTGGTTGTTGGCCACAGGAGTGCAAACAGCTGGAGGGTAAATGTGCACTCCCCTACACCAAACTGAAGAAAAGTTACTACTTGTTTCCCTCGTTCCTTCCCACTCAAGACTCTAAACTTCATGAACAGGCTGGGCATGGCTCTTCACACAGAGGCCTGAACTCAGTGTACACATTGACGTCAAGCCCTGCAGTCAGCTCAGCGGGCATACCCCTCTCCCCACTTTCCTCTGGCACGGCGTTGCAGAAGACTTGTCTTTTCTTGATGCTTCTTCCAAATATCTTCCCATAGGAAAACTTGGCAGGGTCCTGGGGCTGCTCTCTGCATCTACCAGGAACAGGGGCCCAGGCCATGGTGGGGTGATTCACTCAGAAGAGACACTCACTCTGGGGTGAGTTAAGGCTCTACCAACTCTGATCCCCTGGGCTGTAGATGAGGCATCAGGGAAAAGAGGGTATCCCCACAAGTTGAGTGCTGGTTTGTTCCCACGGGTATAAGGCACCAAATGCTGACCCAAGGCCAGCATCCTTCAGCCTCAGGCATGACCTTCCCCACCCAGATTTTACAGGTGACCTTAACAGGTGATGAAGGCTTCAGACATTAATTACTAGGGCCAGAAACAGTATTCTGTCCCAATAGGGAGGATGGCACCAAGTAAGTCTGGCCCTGGTTACATTTAAAAAATGGTACTTAATTCTTTAAAAATATTTTTAAAAAGTGTTAAATAAAATGCAGCTGGGGAAAGGGGACTGTTGGCTGTTAGGTGCTGCTTTGTGTTTTTTTCCCACAGGTAAGACCTGGCATTCAAGCTCTTGGCGATACAACCTGAAGGCCACAGTGCCAAAACTTGGGTATTTTTGCTAAGAAACACTACTTTCTCCTTGCTTGGTGTGCCAGCTGCCTCTGGTCGTTTATGAATGAACCCTTGTTCTTTTGGCTCTCGATCAGCATTGTAACACTAACCATAACCTAGCCTTTACCTGGATGAATCCCTTATCCTTGATAATGACTCTGGAAGACTAGGGACCCACGACATGTCCCCTGGAGCCCTTGTGGGGAGAGCAGGTTTGGTGGAGCTACCTTAAGATGAAGGTGGAGGTGGAGGTGGCTGGTGGCTGTAGGAGGCAGGAGGGAAAAGGCAGGGTGTCCCCTTGAGCTGAGAGTGCTGGTTTGTTCCCAGTAAGGCACCGAGTGCTAACTTAGGCTCAGCATTGTCCAGCCTCAGGCGAGCATCTCTCAGCAGCCCAGCTGAAGGTTCTGTGAACACTGCCTGTCTATAGCAACTGTACTGTGTAAGGTAAGTTCCTGAGAGCAAATAGAAGGTTCAGCCCAGCATTCTAAGTAATTAAAAATAAACGCACAACTCTGTTGGCTCACCAGATAGATGTGAGATGAACTTGGGTAGGAAGGAGACAGCCCCTAGAAGGGCTGGGACTGCCTTCCTTCAACATTAGTTACTATCATGAAAGATGTCTGTCCATCTACAAAGGCCCCGATTTAAGAATCTCAAACCCTTCAATGTTTTGCCCTCCAGAGGATCCTGCGGGCTGGTTAACGAGGGAGAACCCACCAGTTAAATGATAAGCCTCAGGCTTCCTCTGAAGTCAGAGAAGAGACAGGAACGAGTCTGAATGCTAACCTTAATCTTGTCTAACTCCCTTTCCTTACCGCTCTCTCACGTGTGGACACAGACATCAGCAACCTCCTTCTCATCTCACAAGCTGTGTGAGGCAGCGCCACACCTGCACTGGGGACTCCAAACACCCCTTCCCCTGGGTCTGGCAGAATGCTCCACCTGCCTACTTCAGAGACTGGTCCATACAACTGAGGTCTTCCATGCTCCGCTAGTCCTTTCGGGGTTCAAAGGCTTAAATCCAGCCTTCTTTAGAGCCAGATGTCCACTCTGGCTCAGAAAGGCCATGCTGACCATGAAAAGGAAGGTGCTCGTGTGTGGGCATGTGCGCGTGAATCGTGCGTGCACTGTGGGACGCCGTCTCCTCTTCCACATAGGTCTCAGTAACAGGTGGCTTCCCAGGCAGAGGCAGCCGGCACACAGGGCCTACCCACAGAAGCCAGGACTCCAGGCTCCCTGTTTGAGCCCCACCTGCAAGACCTCAGGGCGGGGAACACAAGGAGTGGGACTGTCACAAAATGCTACCTGGTGAAGCTCGGCAGCGACAGGAGATCCATCTGGGAGTGTCCATGAAAGGCCTGTGTGACCCTGGGCACCTGGTTTAACAGGCTCTTTGTTTTAGCGTCTGAGGTGCAGCTCTGGTCCCCGGGTTGATGTCTCAGCTAAGAGGATTATTTCTTACCCTCTTTACTGAGCAATGCTTGGGGCGGGGGGGGATCTTCCGAGCTGGTAACCCAACAGGAGGAGGTGAGTCTCCGTAAGAAGGCCAGTCTGGCCAGCTCATCAAATAAAATGGCACATTCTCTCTGTTTGCCATTTTTCACTCTGATTCCTAAGAAGGGACCAGGAAGATTCAGGGTTCAGGAGGGATTGCGGAGCAATAAGACCTGGTTGTTTCTTGGAAGGAAAGAGAGGATGTGCTTCCGAGGTGCACTTACGTGGGGGCTTGGGCAGTCTCCTTTCTGGTTACCTGCCTAAAACCAGCAATCATCATCTCCTGCCACCTGGGGCTGCTGTGAACTGTGGCCAAATCCTGCCTGTTTCCAGCTCTAATCAAAGCCCCTCTGAGGAACAAAAGGTGACTGAGATCAGCACAGGTGATGACTTCTGAACTCCAGCCTTCCCCAAGGCATATGGCTATGGCACACACCACAGCCACAGAATGTTCACTCGAGCTAGTTCTGTTTTTTCTGCCTGAGATGTCCACTCTGTGTCAGAGAGAGATAGCTGGCAATAAAGCTGATAGGCTCTGGGAACCAGCTTCCATGGCAGTTGGCTCTAGGCTGGACAACCCTCACCTCCACCCATTTATTGCCATTTTGTCTCTCCCTGATGCCGTTACTGCGCCAGAGGGAGACATGTGCCTTTGGGATTAGCTGTTTGGGCGATGACAAAGTCTTCACACCAAGGGAGGGGAAGAGCTGGAATGTGTCTCCATTTGGAGACAAACCCAAGAGGCTTCTTGTAGCCAAGAGAAGAGCTGGCCAGGATTGTTCCCTTTAATCTCTTGGGGATGATTCCAGTCCAAAGAAGGGTGATAGCATCTCTCCAAGACCCTATGCTGAATATCCTCGTAGAAACCGACACATCTAAATGATTAAGGCCCAGAGGCTGCTGACCCCATGCCACTGGGCTCCCTGGTCAGCTGTGTTAAAGGACAGAGGCCAGGGTGGCACAGAAGCAGGACTGGCTAGGAATGCTGCCAGGGGCACAGGACCATGCCGACTTGAAGACTCTTGCTTTCACAGAACATGCTTCTTCTCTTTTAGAGGGTACTGGGGCCTAGTTCTAAAGAATAGCGTCTACCACACTAGGTTGTTTTATGTATTTTCTCAAATGACAGCAGTTGATGGCTGAGCCAGGATACTATGAAGTTGTGTTCTTTAAACAAGCTTGTACACACACTCATACATGTGCCAGACATCTAAATGACTTGAGTGGACACCATCTACCTGCAAAAGGCAGGTGCTGGAACGTGGAACTATATCCCAGCTCACGGCCAAGTCTGGTAAAATGACTTAAGAAATACACTCTGTATTTCTTTGAAAAACTTTTATTGCGCAGAAAATGGCCCATTCCCCTTTGCAGCTTGGTTCTTACCACCTTTCAAATGTTTTCCTTTGAACTCTAACTCCTGCCCCACTGAAAAATTTCTTCTCTTCTGAAATGAAAAAGAATAACCTATCATTGCTGGTCAAAAGCAACTGGAAGATGGTTTCTGGGAGCAAAGGCCCAAAGACATCACTCAAACAGGGCGAGAACCCCACGCGGAGGCCCGCAGACTCAGGAATGGAGATGCCTGCTGCCTTCCTTCTGGTGATGGGGAGCTGGTTGCCCATTGTATCGGCCTTGCGTTTGGGCTCACTCAAGCTCTGGCATTTCATTTCCTGCATCCCCTGACTTCAAGGGGACTTCAATCTGGGGAAGAACAGTTGCCTGGAGCTGCACGTGTTTCCAGAGTTGGAAAACATTTCATGCAGCATGTCACCAGGATTCTAAAATAAACTGCAAACTAGTGGTTATAAAATGGGAGCTTTAAAGGAAAGGTGCGCTGCAAGAGCTGGAAGGAACACTGTGGAGAGCGGAGAACCAGGGCACATGTTGGAGGCTTGTGGATTTTGGAAGCTTCTCTGGAAGGTCTTCAGTCCCTTTTCTAGTAATCGCAGGTCATCGTGTGTGCTTCACAGGAATGCAGGAGTGTTAAGAGGCTAACCGTCCCGGCCGGCAGTGGGGTGCACGGTCCCGTGTGGCGTTCCCACCATATGAGGCCACTAACACCATCTCCCTGCAGCCCTATCCCGCAGCCGCCACTTGGCACAGCACTGCCTTGTTCTGGGGTTTGCAAGAGCCTCGAGGGATGGAGGCGGCTCTCCGGGGGGCTGGTCTAGTTCCGGTGGCATTCAGGAGGTGAAGAGGGTTAGGAACGAGGCCACACAGGTGATGAAAGTCCTGTCTCAAGTTCAATTTTACTGGAAGGCTGAGGTTTAAAGGGAGAATCTAGAACACCCTCCTCTTGCCTTGTTAAGAATAAGAATAATCGCAGGCACTCCACCTCATCGGAAAACAGGAAGCGAAGGAGTCAGAGCTGTGACGGTTGCTAGCAGCACCCCTCCTGCATTTCCACAGGAGAGCCATGGCAGCTTTTGGACAAAGTGAAGAGTGAGACAGGTTCTCTGCTCCTTTGTACTAGGAATGAAGGTTCAAGTTGAGGCATGGTGGGGCTCCCATGGAAGTGCCAAGGTTGGCACAGACACCTGATCTAGGCTGCCCTGAAGAGCTGCCAGCCCTCTGTTCGCCCTCCACCAGCCCCTCTCCACCAGAAGTCTGCCAGAGGCCCCTTCCGGACTGGCCCCGCCTGGGCAGGAACTCTCCCTGGGCTGACTACCTATCAGTCACCAGGTCTTCCTCACTGTGGCTCTGTGAGCTAGCTGGACGATATCGGTCTCCGGCTCAACTATGAGAAATGAGCAGTTTGACTCAAGGAGCCAGTTCTGTGGTGTTCATTATCCCTGGCCTTCCATGAAGATAGGGTTACACAGGAGGTTTGTGGTGGAGTCAACTGTGAGAGACCAACCTCAATTCCAACATCTGCATCTCTGTCTGGTTGTCTTTGAGGCTGGGCTGAGGGAATTCTCAGCAGCCAGATGGATTACAAGGTCCCAGCACACGCTGCCAGCCTGGAAAAGGGCTCACCTTTCATAATAAATGTGCTGAGGGGAGGTGAAACCCTGGCACTAAAACGGAGAAAAAAAAATGGGTTCTTCAGAGCCAGGGTCAACAGGAAGAGGCGAGTGGCATCTGTGCCCTTTGGCCTGGCCTCCAACAGTGCTGAAATGTACCCTTAGACAAATGAGTGGTGCAGACACGAAGTTTGGTACCACAGTGAGGGTGGGCTGGGTGAAGGAGGAGGGGCGGACACCCAGTACAGGAGGGGACAGGAGAGCTAGGAGCAAGAACCCACGCAGGGGTCTCAGCTGCTCCCTGATGCCAACTGGGTCAGTGACACTCTGAAGAAGGCTAATAAATAGACGGCTGGGACAGTGTTCAGTCAGGTCGGGATGGGACCATGTAGGAGGACGTGACAGACACACCCGTCACTCCCACACCGGGTGCCAAGTGATCAGTGTCTCTAGTAAAGATATAAAAATGAAGTTACTTCTTTTCAAGTATTAAAAAAATAAGTTAATTGACAAAAAGGGTCCGAAGCGGCTGAGCATCTTGCTAGGCTGACAGCTTCATCTCAATGTGCAAACACAGGAAAAATGTCAGGGAAAAAGATAATCTCCTACCCCGACGTGAGGCGCTGAACGGTAACGACGCCTGTCTGCCAACTGGGGGCTAGAAATGCAGGGCCTCATCCTGTCCCCCAAAGTCAGTATTTTCCAGTGTGAAAATTGTTGTGAATTCAAAGCAGAATGCAGCAGTCCACAGGCCTCAGGTCAAAGCCAGAGAGAGGCCTGGGGCATCTGGCCATGAGGGGTCCAGTATGCGGTGCAGGGGGCCAGGAAGCAGACCCCTCCTGGGTCCTCCTTACTTGCAACATGAATTCGGGAGCCAGCCCATCTCCAGCTTCCCCTGTGATGCTGGGGTAGGTGCTCACCTGCGGGCCACTGCCCCCCTCCCCAGGCTTGCTTCCCATCTTGTCCCCCCCACCGGGGTGTCCTCTTCATTTCTTTGGTGGTGCTTCAGGAAGCATGAAGAAGATCGCCGCCCCCTCCGCTCCGTGGAGGTGCACTCTGATGGCTGTGGTTTTGACAGACAGGGAGCAGATTCCTTCTCTTGTCTCCTCTTGTAGAAGGAGCACCAGCCACCGTGGAGCCTTGGGGAGCGGGCAGGTTTTCTTTATTCCCACTTCACGTGTCAAATATTCCTCTCTCTCTCTGGAGCAGGGAGTCAGGGTGGGCCCCTTCCAAGGAGGCTGAGCCACCTCAGATAATCATCTTCACCTGGGGTTCCCCAGAGCATAGACCTTGACCCACTTTTCAAGAGGCACATAGACATTTGCATGTAAACTCCCAGGAGGTGCCAGGCCTTCTGAGAGATCTTTCATCTGGGTGGTTTGGAAGAACCCAGCCTGGGTCAGGTGGATGCCACAGACCAGCCAGCCAGAGCACAGCTGGAGCTCAGGACCAGTTCAGGCTGAAGCCCTTGGACAGCATGACGGCCTCCAGGTCCTTGTCCTCTTCTTTTTCCCGGAGTCGCTGCTCCTCGAGCAGGGCCACAAGGGCATCTCTCTGTTCCACCACCTCCAGCATCTCGTTCAAGATCTTCTTCTCCTCTGACAACTCCTCTTCAGTTTTCAGGTGATCTGGGCAGTGGCCAAAGACATTAGGTCTCTAGGGCCAGGAGGTAGCAGGCCCACACCCAGCTTTCCCCGGTGGCCCCCAGCCCTGCTCCCCGCTTACCTTCCACCGCCATCCGCTCCCGTAGTTCCTGCTGCAGTCGGCTCTGCCGGTCTTCCAGTTCCAGCTCCCGGGCACTGGCATTGGGGAAGGGTGGGGGGTGGGAGGGGGGAGGAGGAGAGGAGAGAGAGAGATAAGCACGGTGACTTGGGGGCCACATCTCCTCATCCCCTAAATTAGGAAGAAGCTGCGCTCCTGCTGTGGCAGGGGCTGAGCTGATGGCCCCCCTTGACTGGGTCCCCACCCAAGTCTCCTCTTACTCACAAGATCATCAGCTCTGACTCGTAGCGCACCATGGCATTTTTCTCTTGCACCAACTTGAACCACTCCTGCATCAGCTTGGGGTCATCTTTCTTGCCCATGCCTGCCAAGAGAGAGGGTGCGTCAGGTGCAGCAAGTGTCTGCCGTCTTCCCCGGCCGGCAGGAGTCATCACACAGGGGCAAATGTGCAAAGAGAGCCGAGCAGGATGCTGCCGGAACACTCCCAAGCCAGGTCCAAAGTTTGCCTACAGCCATGGAAGGGGGGCGCGGTGCCCCAGAGTCTAACAGAGTCTGTGCTCTCCACCTCTCCTTCCCAAGCCCAGCCCACACCCCCTCAGGAACCTGATTACAGCCTGTCTGGACCCCTCCTGCTCAATGGATTGCTCTTGGTAGGTCTGAAGTGCTTTGCCCTCTCTTTCCCCCTTTTCCCCACTCATTTCCTATCTGTATGGTACTTGCTGGGTACTAGATCTGCTTTAAGAAAACCAGTCTCGTGAACCAGGCAAATGCAAGTTTATAAACTGCACTTACCCCTCCTTTGAAAGTACCCTCACTGACCCAGCTCCCCTGTCTGGGCCACTGGTACTGATGCCTGCCTGTCTCTTTAGTTCCCGGTCAGGGAGATGGCTTTTCTCAAATTGTGGCTTTATCAGGCTTCCTGACAAACACTTCCCTGAGGAATCCTGCATGGTACATGCAGTAGTACCTCCCAGGATGGCTGTCAGGCTTCTCACCAAGGGCAGAGAGAACACCCACTAGGAAATCAGGCAGTGCCCTCTGCTCTGACCCAACGTCAGCAGCAGTTTCTGGGGCTAGTGCTCTGCACTAACACATAGCTGAAAACTCCATCTCCATCAGTGGCAGCCTGACCCTGTGGGGCTTAACTAAGGCAGCAGAACAGTAGGAAGAACTTTCCAAGGAATCAGACCACCCAAGGAGAGAACAAACTCCTTTTCCTTGGAGCACAAAGAAGCTCACGGCAATAGTGTGACTCTGCCTAAAGCAAAAGACAGACTCTATCAGCGGTCTTCAATATTTTTGGATTTCAAACCATTCTGGGAATCTCGGGAAATCCAGGGACACTCTTCCTAGAAAAATACATGTCTACATGTCCAACAATTATATACAGAACTTCAGGGTGTTCGTGGGCTCCCTGAAGTTCACCTGTGGGTCCCAGGTTAAGAGGCATTGGACTGGGAGATCTTTCCAAGTGCCTTCCATTTTATGACTCACTTGGATGGATGTCCTATCCCGGTAAAGACCAGACCCAGAAACACATGGAATACACCCTGAAGTGGGACAACGCTCCTCTGTCAAGCTCCTTACTCACTGTTTTCCTACATTCTTCCCACCTGACTTCCTTGCACACTGTTCAAAGACAACTCTCTGCTGTGTTGTTTGCTTGACACGCAGGAGGCCCAAGCCAGTTAGTCTTTCAATGGGGGCCACACTCTGGAGTGGCAGAAACGAATAGCACTCACACAAGCGGGGGTTAGTGTATGCACAGAGCCCAGGTACACATGCGGCTGTGCTCCCAAGGTGGAGGCCTGTCCCTGAGTCCTACTCTGCAAGGCAGAAACTCCCTCCTGACCAGCTGAGCCTGCCTCTGTGGAGTGCTGGAGTGTCTGGGGACGAAAGTTCTCCTTACCCGACCCAATAGACTTGGTCCTTTGGCTTTTAGAGCAGCCCACAGCTCAGTTCCATGCATTCCTTTCTGAGCGTCTCTGCACAGTGTGCCCACATGGCATGGAAGATGGAGCCCTGAGGCATGCAAGCTGTCCAGTGCGGCAAGCTGGGAATGCACTGGGAAGTCTCTCCCTCCTTCCCGCCTCCCCATGAGCAGGGACAAAAATTCCACTGGGAGACATCTGAACACTGCTCATGAGCTATGGTAGAGACTGTTCACAGCTGATGAGCAAAGGTATATGGTGGGGTGGGTGAAAGTCAAATGTGAGCGCCATGAAGAGCAGGGTTAAGAGGTTAGCAAGGGTTAGTCAGGACCACACTCCCCTTTCCCCTTCCCACATGCCTTTTCAACAACAATCTTATCACCACAACAGACTTTAAATCAGACAAACTTAAAAAAAAAAAACACACACACACACACTCAGCAAGACACAGGGTAAAGAAGTTTGCATTTAGTGGGGGTTTTTTTGTTTGTTTGTTTTTGTTGTTTTTGGGAAAAGAACTTAGGGGCATTTGTAGACCAGTCTTTGTAAGGACAGTATTCCTCGACTCCACCGATACAAATCTCTGCCACACAGGTAGGGGGTTCCTCACCCGTGTGTCCCCTCTATCTGCTCGATTTGAGTCTGAGAAGTTCCACCATGAATGGTGGCACAACGTCATGGGATGCTTCAGTTGTAGCCTGAAAGGCCAGTACCTGGAGGCTCTCTGGTTTTCCTCTGTACCCCAGTCCTCCCCAAGACAGTCAAAGGGATACTGTACCTTGTAAGAAACTGCCACATACTCATGGAATTTTGTAACAAGGCTATTGAGTGTCAGAGAAAAAGAGAAATAGCTGGGTTTTGGGTCCCTGTTTGGCTAGTGTTGCTATGACCGCTGAGAGGCAGTGGGGATGAGGTTGGGGGAGTTACGTTACCTTCCTGGACACAGCAAGGGCAGAAGGAGAGAGGTCTACGCCGTGGAGTCCCGCCACTGGGCTCAACTTCAAAAAGGACCAAACAAGGAAAAGAAGGAGAAGGAGACGAAGAAAGACAAAAAGGAAGAGGAGGAAAAGGAGGAGGAAGAGGAGTTTGGAAGTGGAGAGGGACAGGGAGAAGGTGAAATAAAAAACAAGCAGAGGACAAAAAGCATAAGAAGTGAGAAAGGAACAACAGGAGGAAAAGAAAAAAAATACAAGAAATGGAAAAGCAGAAACAAGGGAAACAAAGTCTACAAATGAATTAAGTCCTTTTTTCAGCATGGAAACTGAACAAGGGCAGACCCAGGCATCAGGTGTGTGGCTTAAAAAAAGAATGCACGTGCTTCCTGGCAATGGTGGGAGGTTCTGGGGTTGAGTGGGTTGCTCCTTCTTCCTCTGTTCCTTACTGTGAGGGTGGTGACATTGGGATACCATCATATGGTAGCCTTTGGGTTTTGGGTGTTGGGTTCCCTCCTCAAAAATGCCCAAAGCCCGTGGGACTGGTCAGCCTACCTCTGTGGAAGAGTCCGTGATTAAATCTGTGCCCAACACTGCTCCTAGGTTTGCAGGTGATAATTTCATGTCACCAATCAAACCCGTGTGAAACATTCTACGATGTCACCACAGACGCGTGCGCTCCACATACAACTGGCCTTGGAGAAGTGTAACAGGTGAGGAGGGGTCTGCCACCACTGGATTACCAGGCCCCCAGAAAGCAGCTCTGAGTCTATGGAGGCAGCGCCTCATCTGGAGAGGGCTTCCAGGGCCGACTCTACAGTGCTGTGAATTCTGAGCCAGGACAAATTGAGGGAAACATATCCACAAAAGAGGCGACTTCCCCTGGTCCGCATCATATCCCCCCACCATGTACCAGGGAGAGCCAACCACCCCCTTTTTCTTCTGCCCCTCCATCTCCAGAATCTCCAGAGAGGATTCCAATAGCACAGCTGGGGGAAGGCTGTCACACTTCGGACTGGAAGACCAAAGGGGTGAGCTGACAGGACATATTGAAAACTCACAGTAACAAGGCTGGTAAGTCATGGACGGGGCAACTGAGAGAAGACAGGGCGCAGAGAGACATGCCTAGGACTGAGGGAGACCTGACAGTTACTCAGGGAGAGGCAGAGGGAGAGGAGCCCAGCAAGGGACCATCACAGAACCACCAGGGCACACAGGAGACACAGGCTCAGAGAAACGGCCTCAGGACTGTAGTGAGCAGGGGTGGTTTTAGGATTGGAACAGGGTTTAAGAAATAGCTCTGTTTCAGTCAACAGAAAGGCCGAATAGATAACCTACTGGCCGAGGAGCCCTTCTGCTTTGCAAACGCAGGTACCACATTTTCCCTTTCTTTTTAACCCTTCCTCATAGTGCTTTGTGCACAGTGAATCTGGTGTCGGGTAAAACTTCAAAACTAAAGCCAGAGACTTGTTTGTGGGTGTGCACGTGTGTCTACAATGTTGATCACATCCAGGGTTCTAAACGAACATGGCTGTGACCGGCTGATGCGCTAGGGGAAGGGAGAAGGGCTCCTTTCTCTCCTCAGGGCTGATCCATATCCAGTCTTCCTTGTTTCAAAGTGTAGACTCTATGCTGGCGCTCAGAACACCTGGATAAGTAAGACAATGGCGATAAACAATGTCTGCGGCTTCCTGGTACTGGCGTTATGCAGACAGACTGGTGTGGGGTGGAATGGTGTCCACAGCTGTTAGCAAGGGATGGGGACATGATGCACAGCCAACATAGTGGAGCCCATGTACTTGCACATATATACTTTCTGGATATCACAAAATGTAACTTTTAGTTCCTTTTATGTAGACCACATCCTCATATACCCTTTCCAATACAGAAGACAATACGAGATAACAGGATATTCAGAACAGAGATTTGAAAATGAAATTAGTAAAGGGGACATCAAGGAAAGGAAGTGTTAAAAAAAGTATAAAAAAAGAGAAGGCATTGTCATAGTAATAGACAGAACGCAGAATGGGAGTGGGCCACCCCTCTGAGAGGAGCTGGGCTGAGCAGACAGGATGCACGGTTAGGACTCTCTTCTCCAGACTTTCCTCTGTGCTCCAAAGTCCAAGTAGTAATGTATACTACTTTTATAATCAGAAAAAATACCCAATAAATATTGTTTCAAAAATAAGAAATCAAGGAGAAAAAATCATTTAAACGAGGGGAGTTCCACCAGGACTTGAATCTGAAATGAGCACGCCAGGGAAACACAGAGGTGCTGATTTTGAGTGTAATTTTTTCGCCTTTTTTGGAGATGTGAGAAATAGATGATTTGGTCCACTAGTTCTAAGAGCAAAGATGTTGTCAAGCTTGTGGCAAACACAAGTCTTTAAAACTTTTGTTATGATTATTTTAAGATGCCAGGGCAGTAGGTTTCTGTGTCTTTGCAACAGGTACCACAGTGATCACTTCTCCAAGTATCCCTGTGTTCCCTGGACCTCAAGTCAGACTGTCTGAGCAAACCCAGAATCTGGTCCTGGTTGGAGGCTTCTCACCAGCAGGTCTACACTCTCATCCTAGACTGCTCTGCCTGCCCTCGAGATGCTGCAAGCTCGCCTGCCCTACCTTCTATCTTGGCAGCAAACTGAATGCCACAGGTTTCCTTTCGGCAAGTTCTTTAGTGCCACTCATCTTGACGTGGGGGCAGCGGAGAAGGGCCACTGACAGCACAACGTAGAGTCAGTGTGCTGCATGTGATACACATGAATCCTGCTTTCATTTCAAAACATGCTCATAGGTGTTACTTCATCTGAGCCTTACCCTGCTCCCGGGACACTGCCTGACTAAAGCCCACATCCTCCTCTCCCATTCTGAACCAAGAGTCTGTCTGCCCTCTGGAAACGGCCCACAAAGGCTCGAGGCAAAGCTAACAAATATGGTAGCTCCTGGAATCAACCAGGAGATGGAGGAGTCCCATGTAGATCCTACTCAGAAGGCCAGGCCTGGGAAGGCGGCAGCATCAGCCTTTCCTTCCGTTATTCTGCAGAGGCTCGGAGAGATAAGTGACGTTGCTGGGCACGCGGTGAAGCTAGGACCTAAATCCTAGGTTGGGGGTGTTCCCCATACTATCACTTGGCCCTGACCTGCCGGGACAGCTCACTCTAGGCCCTGTCTCTCATGTGGTCCAGGGCGGGTCTGGGAGCAAGTTGGTGGGTCAGTCTCAAGGATTCCTGGACAAAAATAAAGGGGATGTTTAGGTCTGTTCTGGAGCTCAGGAACAACTGTGGGCATCTGCCTCAACCCAGGTACTTATCTCCTCCTACCATACAGGCTCCCAGTTCCTATTGTTGGACAAAGGAGCCCTCACCCCAGGGTTAAAGCTTGAGTCTCTACTGACAGCACCCGGTAGACCAGGATGAGGGTCTAGACAGATGGGATAGGGAGAAATCTACATTCCAGAAGTACCAGCCTGGACTGCTTTATTTCCCCATGGGATCATGGTTATATTCTAGAATGTCATAGCCTTGTACGGTGTACTAGAGACATTATGAGGAAAATGGGCTTTTTATAAGCTGAGCCATACTTACAACTGCATTTTCACAGGAAAAGGCAGAATTCCAAACAATTACCTCACAAACACCATAGAAATATCATCCTCTCATAGACTCAAAATAGTCTCCCCATCCCAACACCTTTTGATACACTGTAGCTTTTTCATGTATGAAAATCCATAAAGTAGCCCTGGGTTAGATTACTTCCTTTCAGCTACATTTTTTGGAAAATCCCACATAAAGGAAGAGATCCTTTTCCACTTCCTTTTGGCCTGTGAACAAGCTCCAAGGTGTCCTGGACAGGACACAGGAATGTTTATTTCTTGGGTCATATTTCGTGGTTCCATTTTCCTGCTATGGTAGCCCTGGGCCTGCCTCTGTGGGCCAGGCTGTGCGGCCGTCATCTTGCCTGGGTGGGGGCTCTCATTTCTCAGCCTGGTTTTTGACAATAACGCCACTCTATCTGTGGATAGCTTCCCCAGCATTGTAGCAGTAACTTTTTATACAATTCATGCTTACAGACACAACCAGAATGTTTTTTATCTTTTGGTAAGGAACATCAGGGGCATCACCTTTCATGTCCAAACTCAATCTACCAGATTAAACTCGTAGAAAGCCCAAGACTGGGAGAATTTCTTGGTGATTCAGGTATAAGGAATGAGGCTTTCGTTGATTTTCTTTTCTGTGTAGTTGAGGTTATGTAGCCTGAAGCAAGGTAAGATTGACCAGATGTTTGGTTGCCTGTTCTAACTCCTCAGTATCAATGCCATGCTCTTGATTTGAGGCAGGCAGCTTTTGCACTGCAAGGATGACGCGGCCAATTCCAAACCCAGAGGGAATCAAGTTGGCTGGTTTGCAATGCTTCTGAGTGGTAAGCACGCAACATAATAGGGTGGAAGGCTTCTGGTCTAGTAGCCCCAGTCTACATACATAGCCACGGCTAAGATGTGCTTTGTGTTATAAAAACTCAGTGTAGAATGAATCTCTAGGTTGGGGAATAAATGAAGCCCCCCACCAAAGAAAAGGAAAAAAACAGGTAAGGATGGAGATCTAATATGTACACTTACAAACACACACACACACACATGCTAAAATGCTGGATTTGAAATCTTAAGAATTTTAAAGTTCCTAAGCAAAAACGGAGCAAGGCTAATAATGAGCAGACCAAACAGACAAATAAAATGATATACCAACATCAAATTAAGGAAAGCAAATAAAACAGGAAGGGAGGGAAGTGAGCAGGCCTGGGCTAGGCCTCCCTGTGCCTCTCACCAGCAACAATGAAAGACCACTCTTCAGGCCTTTCTGTTACATTTCTAAACCGTTCCTGTTCTTTCAATTTGCCTTTGACACATACAGGTGGGGAAATCTTCAAAAATGAGAAATTAGGTATATATTTTAAATTGAAAGTTCTTTTGAAGAGAGACCATTTTTATCTAAGGATTTCCAGTCATCTATCTGTCCTAGTGCAACAAAACGTAATGGGTGGACCAGTTAGGGAGAGCCTGCTCAGTGTCTGGAGAAGATAAGGGGAGGGGAGTGAGGTCACTCGGGGTCACCTCTCTGGTCCAGGGTTCACTATGTGTTTTTCTAATGGTGTCTTTTGAAATCACAAGATTCAATTATGTGAAGATATCTTTATTTTCTATACTCTGTGGCTCAAAAAGTGACTTTTTTTGTTCTTTTGGAAAAGAGAGAGTGCACGTGCATGCGAGGGTAGGAAAGGGCAGAGGGCAAGGGGGAGAAGCTTAAGCAGGCTCTAGGCCTAGCATAGAGCCCAATGTGGGGCTTGACCTCATGACCCTGAGATCATGACCTAACCTGAAATCAGGAGTTGGACTGACTGAGCCACCCATGTGCCCCCAAAAGACTTTTAATACAGGTCTGGAACTTTAAAATAGTTAGCTGAGAGCCACTGAAAGATCCTACTAAAGTGATAGAGTTTACTGGGCAGAATGTGGGGCAGGGATCAGGAGTCTGGACTCCTCTGGTCAGGGTATGGAATTTTCAACACCTGGACACTGCCTAGAGCTTTGTCTCATCCAACTTGAGAACTAAGATTGGTGCTGGGTCCAGCAATGGGGTTGCCCTGTGGGCATGTGGGGATGTAAGAGGAGAGAAGCAATCAGGCTCTACAATTCAGGCACCAGATTTCAAAAGGGCAACCCTCCATCCCGCCAACAACGAATATTACCAAGTATTTTAAGAATGAAGCATCAGCAGAAACCAAAAAGGGCCCTAATTCTGGCATCTGTTTTCCTCTTGGAGTTGGGCAGGAACAGGGGCCAGAGGGTCCTTGATCTGTGCCTGGAGTATAAAGGACTACCTTCAGAATGGATGGTTCTTTCCTGCTTCATTGGCTGGATAGTAACAGCCTCTGTTTGGTGAGTGGAAACACAGAGAAGTCTAAATTTAACACTGAAATCATACTGAGCTGGCAAAAGAGGAAGTATTGAGTTGATGAGAACCGAGTAGAAGGAGCTAGAAGGCATTTGATGGTGGCGTATTTTATAACTCAGAAGATACCCCAGGGTTTCTTTTTTCTACTTATTTCCTTTCCCCCTGAAATCTGTTGGAATTATAAACCTGAGAGGCTAGTAGCTATCAAGGCAAGGACAGAAAACTGAAAACAGCCAAGTACATTTCCTCCCTCAAGCATGGGGTAAAGAAAACAAAACTTTAGGCACATGAGGTGATCAGTGTGGCAACAGGATCTTGAGCTGGAGGGAAGGTGAATATAATTGTAAAGAAATGGGTTTTGACAGCTCTTTCCAGGAAATTCTGAATTAATGAGACTCTCTTTCAGACACTGGAGATTCCTTTAGGATTGACATAAACACTGCCCCCCAACCCCAGGGCATGTTAGGAGGAGATGGGAAAGGGAGTCAATGCTATTAGACAGGAAACAGGATTTGTTAAGTGGAACGCAAGCAGCGGCCCTTTTACAACATCAGTGGCCACAAGTATGAAGTCTCTGAACACACCAGAAGCCCTGGGCACTGATGGGGTTTGCAGAGGGGTGGGAATCTGTGGCACCCTGGGGATGGAAAACAGAGAGCAGAGATGAGCAACTCAACACACCTGAGGCCAAGAGCCTGTTCCCTTAGTGCTTGAGGTTCTCTAAGAATATGGCACTGTCATACAGTAGGGATCACAGAATTAGGCCCTTTGTTTGTAAATGAATGGACCACAAAGTGACTCTTAAAAGGATGGGATTATGGCAAAAAATGGCAGAGAATAATCTTTGCTGGTTCTTCTGTTTTAAGACCATTTCTAGGCAAGGAGCCTGTAAGGGGAGGTGAAGAGGTCGGACCGCCCATCCCAGGAGCCCGCAGCTCCTCTGGCTAATCTCAGGAGCAGCGGCATGGCTCTCCTCTTGACGAAACTGCCCAAAGTCTAGAAATGAGACTCATGGATTCATTACCACTCTAATCAAAAACAAGTGGTGAGCTCTGTACAGCCAAGACTTCAAAAATCATGAATTCCTTTAAGGTAGTGGCTCTCCTGCTTTAGGGGGCATGAGAATCACCTGGAAGGTCTGTTAAAACACAGAGAGCCAGGCCTCACCTCTAGAGTTTCTGATTCAGAAGATCTGGGGTAGGGCTGGGGAATTTGCCTTTCTAGTAAGCTACCAAATAATGTTGCTGATGCTGCTGGCCCAGAGCCCACACTTTGAGAACCACTGCCTTAGACTTTTCATATGTTCACTGAAAAGAACAGCAAATAAGTTCCATGACACAGCAAGGAGGGAGGGACTCTATTATAGCCATCTGTCAACACAGCCTCAAGTTCAGTGAATTTGGGCAGAAATCACAACTGACACGTTTCCCACACACTTGGATCTTTTAGGGGAAACATGAACACCCTCATGAAAACGGGTGAGGCTGAATTCTCTACATGTTTGGCTTCTGAGTTATGAGTGGCAGAGAGAGTCCTACTGGATGTGATGTCTACAAGTTATAAGGAATGAGAATGAGATCAGGGCAGAGGCCATGTTTCGGTGGGGGCAGGGTGCGGACAGAGAGAGAGGGAGAACCAGAATGAGTGCATGTGAGTGCGTGTGCATGTGTGTTACTGTCAGATGACTAAACAGTATCAGAGGGACCGGGATGCAGATGAGACACAGATGGGTAAGGGCAGGTGAACTTCCATGATAAAAAACTAAAATACTGTGGGGAAGCAAAGGCACTCTCAAATCTCCCTCTGGACAATGCAGAGGATCCAGCATGCTGCTCTAGTATGAGCTGGAAAAGGGCCTGTGCTTTTGACAGTTGGTTATCGGGTTGATTTCTTCTTGTTGTTTGTGAGCAGGGACCGGGGACCGCGGGTGGGAAGGGGGGTCAGCAGGGTTAGTGCCAGCAACAGACGCCGCTATACATACCACCCAGATGCAAGTCGATGAGGTCACTGTAATAAGACTCTCCCCAATAGTCTACAACAAGGAATTGGTGAAGAGAGAGTTACTGGATCAAATAACCCTCTTGTGCCCCCAGACCCAAAGCAATCAATGACATGAGGCATAGAAAACAGCAAGAGGGCGAGGAGAGACAGTTGGAAAGCATGCATCTCTCTGGCAATGCACTACACACACACACACACACAAACACACGTGCTGCGGCTGTAAACTCTCTGGTGGTGGAAGGGAGAGCTCGCTAAACCCATAGGTGATACAGTTAACCACCAATTAACCACGTGGTTGCTGTCCGTACCTCTGAGCAGTTAGGACAGGACAGAAGGCCTTGGCTTTGCTGGAAGTCCTGGCCTGCTGGAAGTCAACTGTATCTAATGAAGACTTCTTAAAAATTCAAGGGCACATCAGGGGCTACTTACTACTTTCGAATATTAGCAGCCCCAGGCTGAGGGGCTGAAGGCAAGATGTGAACACTGTAGGAAAGCTCTGCAAGGTCACCAAGCCTTAGGTTTAAAAGCAGTCAGAGCTCCCCCAAGAATTCACCAGTGACCCCACACAGCTCAGCTGTCAAACTCCTTGTGGAACCGCTTTTATTGGACAAGTTTGAGATGAAGGAGATCCTATTTCTTCTGAGGTTAGGCCCCAACTTCAGCCAGCTTCTCTTTAAAAGCAGAAGTCACTATTTGCCCTAAGGCTCTTGGAGGTCTGCCGGCTTCAGGCCCTCCTTGCCTTTCAGCTCCATGAGGCTGTTCAGCAAGGAGGTTGCCTTCTTCACATGCTTGAGATGCAGAGCCTGGGCACTGCTGAGGGGCTGGGCTTGGTTGGGCAGTCCTCATCCTCCCAGAGTCATAAGCAAATGCAGAGTACAACAAAAGGCAGCTGTACCTCGTTACCCTCTGCCTCCAGATCTCTCAGTCTGCATGCTGATTCTGACAGCTTTTTGCTCCACCTGAGGGATTCCCCCTTTAAAAATGGCCATACCACAAAGTAGAATGTAATCCTGGAATGGTTTTTCAACTCGTGCTCAAGGCTGATGCAGTAGATAAAACTTGCAACATGGTTCCAGAAACAAAAAGGTCTTCTCTGGTACTCCAGCCCAGAAATCCCCACTGCCCTAGGCTTGCAGGCTCTGAACCTAACCATTATGGTCCAGATACACATGAGCCTTAGACAGATTGAGAGCAATCTCTCAATGGATGGCAGGTCCGCATCAGATCTCTCATCTGGAAGGGCAGCCTGGCTAATAGCCTGGCCCCTCAGAGAGCTACGGAAGCTGGGGCGCCTTGAGCGAGGCAGGATGGCAGGCTCAGTCAACTTTATACCCTCAGGAAAGGGGCCAGCCAGCATGGCTGGAGACTTCAAACTGCCATGCTCAGCTGAGATTATCTCCTTAAGGACTCAGCCAGGAACAACCAGACTAACAAGAGGAACGGAATGCAGAAGCAGGAGAGAAAGGACAGCCAGTGGTCACAGTTCAGCCTCAAAGATGATCTTGGCCAAGTAGGAACAGGGCCACTGGTACTGTTCTGGGACTACTGACAAGAGGCAAGTCTTACAAGGGAGGTACTTAGAATAAGAAAAGGAAAAAAATATGTCTGGAAATACATTCTTATGGTAGGAGCGGCTATATCCTGAGAATTTCCCAAATGCCTCATGGGGAAATCTAATGGAGCCACCAAAGTCTGTCTTTAAAAACTGGGCAAATCTGTATTTGGATGAAGGTGTTTTTTTTGTTTTGTTTTGTTTTTTTTTACCCCTGAGGGGGTGCACCATTCCTGGAAATACGGCAATACCAGGTCAATGAGTGGAGTGGACGGAGCAAGCTCCTATTCCATCTCCCTGCTCCAAAAATCCATTTAATATATTGTCCTTGGATAGAGGACATATCAGATATTAAACTGATAAGAACAGATACTGCACTTGATCTTAGCCAAAAGGCCGAGAAGCAATGGATGAAGGTGTTTTGATATAGCTTTGCTTAGAAGAATTTGGACTACTACAGTGGTTTTCAAACTGTTCTGTGAGACCCTCGGGCTCTTTGAGTGCTATTTCAGTGGTCTCCCAACTACCTGACTTGCAAATACACTGAACTCCTTTAATTCTTACATAAGACACATCACATTCAGAAGTCTGATATGCCGATGTTAACCCATTGAAGACCATCAACACGTCCATCTGTGCTATCAGGGAAACTCACTTTTCTGAGGCTCTCAGGACCAAGTTTCTTCTGCCCTGCACGTGCAAGGATCTGTACTCCCTGAAAATGTGTTAGGGAAGAGGCTATCGTATGTATTTATTTAAGTTCTGGCTTGCAAGGAGCAAACAGCTGTACGGGGCAGCACCCTGGGGAGCCATCGTGCAGGGAAACCCAGCCTGTCGGAGCAGCTCCTGTCACATTGCGGTCCTGGAGGAGGATAACATCCAGGCTGTGATAGCATAGCAGAGCTGGCATTTGGGTTTACTGCACGCTTGGGAGCCTTTCTCTAGATCTACTCTTTATAAGGAATATGAACTGCGGCTCGATTTAGCAGTCAGTCAACTGTGTAAACAATGCCTACTGCTCCCACCTTCAGCTTCTGGGAGGGAGGCGACTTAAACCAAACGTATCCTGAGATCTCCGAGTGAACTGTTCAAACACTGGTGCCATTTCCGGCAACTCCCTGTGTCAGGATGTTCTCTAGACAGCCCAGGGGATGGACCAGAGGCTGAGGCCTATTATCACATGCATTTCTCTACTCTAACCTATGTTTCCAAATTGGTGCTCATCAACATTCCAGAGTGGTTCTTTCTGATTTAAACTTAAGCTCACAATTTGAAACAAGTTGGAAAACCACTGACTTAAATGAAATCCTGTTTGTTTATTTTTATGGCAAGGTAATTATCTAAACAACTAAAAAGGGGAATTTTGGCAAGCTCACGTACCAGTCTTCAAGGGAAGTTTCTATGACCCCCTGGCAGTCAGCAGCTTGAGTAACATGGCCTGTTCTAGAGAAACTGAAGCAATGCCACAGTCTCGAACTGCGCAGACTCCAACAAGTACACAAGTGCTTTGCGGAAATCATCAGCCCTGGGGCGGCCCACCTGAACCTCAGAACCCCGTGAAGAGGCAGCACAGCTTGTCTTCCTTGAGGACTTGAATGAAATGGAGGACTAATAATGAAATGGAGGTACACAAGCCTACTGAGTTACTCTGACTACGTGTTGGAAGATCTATCCCTCATTTTCTATTTCACAGAAGTAATCTGTGGGGAAGGAATAAGAAGGCTCCCTCCTGACATCTGCAAGAAGAGAAAGCCACGAGGATAGGGCCCTGTGAGTCCTATTACAGTTGGGGAGGGCATCCCTGCTGGGCTTAGGCTAACTCCCTCTGGGTGGTGAGGCTTAACTCAGGAGGCCAAGGAAGCGCATGCGGGGCAGGGAGCCAAAACAGGGATGGCAGGGGACATCACAGCTTCATTTGGAAGCCTGGAGACCCTCTGAGGTGAGTCAGTCATACATCCCAGGCTTCTGGCTTATAGGCTGCTCAGTGGTTCAACTTTTTGCATCTCATTTGGTGGCCCAGGCTTCAAGCAGTAACTCCGGCCTCAGGTAAGGCACAAAACCAAGAACATCACATCCTCATCTTTCTCCCCATGCCATTTCTTCACCTGAAGGTTATCACTGAGTCAACTGTTCAGCTGCAATACCTAGGCCTTGAAGGGCCCAGAAAGATCTTCTTCTATGCCTGAACCTTCGCTCCCACCCATCCACAGAACCCTACGAATTCATCTGGACATCTGGCACTTCCTGTGAGGTCAGCTCAGTAAGATCCGAGATGGGGCAGCAACTGGGCCCATTCCTGGATGCCTCCTACTGGTTCTTAAGTTTACAGAGAGCCTGCCTGCCAGGAGACGTAGCGCCCTGTCCCTCTGCCATGCTAGGTTAAGGGATAAGGGGTTACTGCAAAGTCAGGTCACCTCCTTTCTTTACCCCCAGCCTCAAAAATTGATTGCTGACCCTGGAGGCCTGTGCTTTCTACAAAGACAGGGAGGTTTCCCCATCCAGAGGTTGGACCAAGACTCACGCACTCTTGAGAAAGCAGAGATTAGTCACTCCGTGCCTGAGTTGGGCCTGTAGGTTGGCCCAGTGGTTTGAAGGTCCTGAACCAACAGGGCTTCTTCCTGGCCCTTGGGACCAGGGATGACTCAGGCACTTCTTGCTTCCTATGGGCCCCACTGTGCTGAATGCACCTCACAGGCTTCTTAGAAGAACAGTGTGGGTGATTGCACTACATTCGCAGCTCTTCCCTGGGCACGGCAGCCACTGAGTGTGTGGCCCTCGCAGCCATTTCCATGTCTACCTTGTGCTGACTCACCACCATCGCCTGAGCCTGTCCCTTGCTCCGAGTGACCAGCCTCTGGGAGATAGAGAGCCCGGGTTCACACTGTTCGAGGTGGTGAGGGCTCTGCGGGGCATGTGTCCTCCCATTCTCTGTGCAATCTGAGTGGGAGAGGGAGCCCATAAAGCTAAACACAGAAGGTGGCATGGGAAGCCGGCTTGGGGACCCACTCGCGCAGTTCTGTGATGGCTCCTTGTGGTACAGCGTCCCTCATACCCAGCTCTTTTCTTCTAGAGGAAACGAAGGCAGGGAGGGGGAAAGGAGGAAGAAGAGAGGAGGAGGCCCAGTGCTTGCCATCAACATGTGAAGCAGACTGAGAGTTGGTTCTACAGATAAACAGCAAACCCTCCAAGAGGGTGGAAGAACAAGTCCAGGCCTTGGGGCAGTCCCAAACGAAGAGGCTTTCCTTTTCTTTTGCTTAATAGGAAGCCTCAGTCTCAGTGATGAAGGGCCCCAGAGAACCCTGCTGAACCCAGCTGAATTCTACATGAGGTGACAAAAGAGTAGCCTACCATGGGTGGGTGGGGGCAGGGCCTTTCCTTTATGAACAAACCCCCTCACAAAGGAGACCCAGACAATACCTGCTTCACCACGGAGCGCCTTCTCCACGGCAACCCCTCTTTCCTCCAGCTGCCTCTGCTTCTCCTCCACCTGCTCCAGCTGCCGCTGGATAATCTATGGGAAAATGGAACAGTGTGAGTGCCCCACTTTCTCTCATCTCCTAGCTTTCAGGAGGACAACTAAACTGTACAAACACAAACAGGGAGAAAAACAAATTAGGTCTGAAAGCTGGAAAGGCTTTGGTCCACAGGCATTAAGCCCAAAGTGGGGAGGGAAGCCCCCCTGCGTTGAATCCCCCAGGGCCTGTCGTTAGTAAGCACACAGCGTGCAGTGTCTGTGTCTCGGCAGGCGGCTCAGACCCTGAGGTGATGTCAGCCCCTGCAGCTGGGACTGAGATACTGCATCCTAAGTACTGCCAACGGTGAGGTTGCTAAAGCACTAGTAGGGGTTCCTAGAGCACACTGCAAGATTAAAAAGATTAAAAAAAAAAAAAGGTTAAAAAAAAATCTAGAAGATTAAAAGAAAAATCCAGAATGGAGCAGTGTGCTAGAGTCTGTGTGGAAGCATACAGTGAGAAATTTCCCTGTGCTATGGGGGGACTAATCATGGATACTAGAAGGACATTCAACCCCCAAAGCAGCAGCCCATGACATATATCTGGAAAATGGCACACAGAAAATGAAATAAAATCCAGGGATCCAATCAGTGCAGAGAATGTGGATATAGAATAATGTTCAAGAAAAGGACTAAAAGACTGGTGGCTTCTGATGCTTGTTAAACATGAAAATTCAGAGAAATACCTTGGTATTTGGGTTTGCTGTTAATGTTTTTCATTGTTTATAGCTTTTGATTAGTGTACTAATATGAATACAACTATATATACACAAACTCATTACAAAACCTTATTGTAATACTCTTATTTTTTTTTTTAAGATTTTATTTATTTATTTGACAGAGATCACAAGTAGGCAGAGAGGCAGGCAGAGAGAAGAGGAAGCAGACTCCCTGCTGAGCAGAGAGCCTGATGCGGGGCTCGATCCCAGGACCCTGAGATCATGACCTGAGCTGAAGGCAGAGGTTTAACCCACTAAGCCACCCAGGCGCCCCTGTAATACTCTTTAATACTTTATAAAAGAAACTATTTTTTGTTTCAGAAAGAAAATCTGGAATGGTCTAGGTTCTGTGAGGCCTGAAGACAGAGGCTGAGGCCTGGAGAACAGCTCTGACCTAGAAATCCCAGGCCCAGCAGAGGCTGACAGGTCATAGATGGCCTCTCAAGGACAATCCTCACAACTAAACTAGTTGACTTCACAAGGATGACACCAGAGCAAGGAATTTAGGAAGAAACTCAAAGCCCGGCTCTTCCTTTTCTACCAAGAACTCCATAAAAACAAGGCTTCTGCAGTTTCATCAAGCCAGAGGCTTGTGGCCTGACACATTGGGGCTGTCCTCTCAGATATCAGGGACACCCCGTCTACCTCTGCTCTGTCCTCTTTACCCTCCCGAGTCATGGACAAGGACAAGCATGTTGGAGAGAAGGCTCTTTCCCACTCAAGAGCTGTGGCCCCTCCAGTGATCTTACCTGGGCTCGGTGTAGCCGCTTCAGCTCCTCTTGCTTGGCCTGTCTCCGAGCTGCCTTCTGCACACGCCGGGTCAGCTTGGCGTTCAGTTCCTCCTCTGTGTAAGTTCTTGGCTGGAGAGAATGAGAGAGATTTCCTCAGTAACGTGCAGCAGGCACGTACGAGAATGGAGAGCACTTCCCCTTGGTCGGAGCTGCCTTTCAGCAGAGTGCCCATGGGCAGACTCCCAGGCTGCAGCTCGGCCAGAGGCTTCACTGACGCTTGTCCTTGCTGGAGCCCTAACTGCTACAGGGTATAGCTAAAGCACCACAAATGAGATACCTCCCTGCTGTGGCAGGGACAGGAGGCTCAGTGGGGACCGACTACTAGGAAGTTAAAGGGACCGAGGGTCATATGCTCCTTTATCACAGAGATAACCTATTTCAAATGGAAGGATGTCTGCTCTTTTTAAGACTTTCTGGGGATAAAAATATAATTAGTTCCCACAAGCCTCCTGCTTCTTGAAGGCATTCAGGGAAAGGAAAAAGAAAAATCAGCATCCTTTTATTTTCTTGTTTAGCATCAAATGCCAATTCCTTCAGATGAGTGATATAAGATTCTCTAGGAAGTAACATCTAAAGTAGAGAAAAAGGGGATGCTTCTATTTTTAAGTCTGAGTGCACCCCAAGCTAACTAATGTGGTCTGAAGAAGGGATATCCGGAGGTGAACTGGGACCGCCCCCAGGGTCTGCCCAGGGGCAGCAGTTGGCTGCTGAGAGCAGGGAGGAGGTGGTCTGGCAGGGCAGTTTCAGCCCCTGCTAATGAGCCCTCAGGAGGCAACAGGCCAAACCCAAACCCAGGGCCAATTCACGGACACAACCGCCTGAGCAACTCCACCTGCAAATGTGGGCACTGAGGGCGCAAGGCAGGGTCAGATGCCTTGTGTTAACACTGAGCAACCACCAAGAGGCAAATACTGAGGGGTTTGCCTCTATTCCTAACATCTTCATTTCCTCCGAGGAAAAAAAAAGAGAGACTTTGATAGACTTTAAAAGAGACTTCCAAATTCAACTCAGGAGTGTAGTCTACTAATCTTTATTTTAAGAGCTCAAGGACAGTGGAGGGCCAACTGAGCAGCTAAGTCCTCAAGGAACATTGTGGTGTTCTAGTGCCCTAAGCACTTCCCCTTGCAGTTCATGGAGCTGAGGGCTCTCGAACTCCCCAACCCTGTGATGCCCAGTCCCCAAGGGGCAGCCCTGGAGTGAAATGACCACATGCACTCCAGCCAGTCAAGAGTAGGGCGTCTCCCCTTCCTCTGCCATGACACAGCTAAAGAAAGTTCTGCTGCCAGTGTTGGCTACTGCTCCATGCATGTGTGAACAGTTAGTGAGGATGTGGCCGGAGGGCCAGGGGCGGGGGCGCAGCTCTGGGTGGTTAATCACAGACACGCATGCAACAATGACCAGCCATGGGCATGAGATACTACCTTTGATGCATAGGATCTCCTGAATGCCAAGGCGAGTGGTACATAAATCGACTTTTAAGGGGATGGCAACGGAAAACAAAACAGAATAGTAATAATAACAATTAAAAAATTAAAAATAGAACACAGAAATGGAGCAAAATCAGTTAGAAGTTTAAAACAAACAGGCAAGACTAAAGACTAAAACATGTGATTATTTTTCACAATGTCACACAGGACTGCGTAAGTGAGGGACCTGGGGATACAGATCCTAGCAGCAGAGTCTCTGTGAACCCTGGTTTTGAGTAAAGGATTGGGTTCACTTTTCTACTGAGAAGACAGCGTCATCCTCACTATGCCCTAAACTTCTCTTCTCTCTTCACTCTCCCTTGTACAGAATAAACTAAAGCTGTATAAATGTATGGTTACAGATGCCATTTCTCCTTCAGTAACCCATCTGCCTGTGGAAATTCAGACGACTTCTTTCAGCCCAGTGGGGGGTGGGGGTGGGGCACCGGTGATGGGGAATTCCCATTGCTGGGCACACAGAGACAAAAGATACAAAGCAAACCTAATGTTCTCTTCCAAAAGGCTCTCTCCCGGCAATGTGGGCCAGGTGGGTTCCTAGTGGGCCCCCCAGAAATCCTGGATGGGGTGGGGACCATTTCTTGATTATGCCCAGTGAAAGGGCATAAATAACTGATAATAGCCAAAAATATCTCAGGCACATATGTCTGCCTCAGACTGACTCATCTCTCCCACAAACCAGAGTGAGAGGATGAATCTCATTATTAGAACAAATCAGCTAAATGAACAGAAGACGGATGAGCCCCCAAACCGCATGTGAATCACTCTATAGGAACTATGTAACCATGACCTAAGGAGTAGCCCTTAACATCTGCACCTGTGGCTGCTGTAAAAAGTAAAGGGAGTGGGGGCAATCCCTGACTGGCCTCTGGCAGAGGAGGGCAGGTACCAACTCAGCAGAGGCAGCGACTTGAGGAGAGAAATCATGATGCATCTGTGGTGTGCTGAGAGAAGCTGCTGCCTCTGCTGCGACATGGGGACTAGGGCCTGTCCCAGAGCAAAGGCACATGCCTGTGGCTGGGCCACAGAGGTTAAGACACGTGCACTACTTATATTTAAAGTTAGCCTCAGGCAAAGAAAAGAGGCAAATGTGAATCATCTTTTGTTGGTAGTGTGACAGGTGATATATAGATTTTGTCTGTATTATCTTAATTTTTCTAAGTTAACATTTTAAAATAAAAGTAAGGTATTTTCAATTTTAGGTGTTTTTTTGTTGTTTGTATTATTATTATTATTTTTGTTGTTGTGTTATGTTAGTCACCACACGTGTTATAATGAGCATTGGGTGTTATACGGAAATAATGAATCACTGAACACTACATCAGAAACTAATGATGTACTATGAAACAAAACTCGGGCACTTGTTTCCCAGATGCCTGACTCAGAGATGGGTCTGTGACGCAAGGAGAACCACTTCCCCCAGATGCTCTCTCCTGACCCCGTGGTCCCTTTAGGGGTCCCCACTCCCTTCATTTCCTGCTCTGAAAATTTTCAAACCTAAGAAAAGTTGGAAGAGGACAATGAACACCTTTGCTTAGATTTGCTAAACTTGATCATTTTGCTACATACTTGATATTATATAGATCTTTTTGTATATATTTATATATAATCTTTTTTTTGGGAGTCATTGGCAGGCATTTTTTGTGCCTACAAATTTTAGCATGTATTTCTTAAGAGCAGAGACATTTTCCTACATGACTGTAGTACCTTAATGTCTTACAAGCAACCTAGCACGGATGTGGTAACACTGCATATCTACACATATTATACCATCTGTGACCAAATTCACTTAATTATCCCAAAGTGTCCAGCATGGTTGTTTTTGTTTTCCTGTTTTAGCGTCCATCCTTGAGAATACAGTGTCCACTCTCCCCCAGACCGACCCCACACTTTGGTAGGATTCAAGTCAACATGTCCTAGGCTCAGCTTTGTCTTTAGTATTCCCTGCTCAGCCTCCAGCAAAGGGTTCTGTGGGGGCACACACGCAATGTGAAGCCCCCATGCCTCTGATTCTGGGAGTCTAGGAGTGGGGGCCATGACTTGTTGGTCACATAGAAGGGAAGAGCTCCCTGTGTGCCTCAGGTCAGCAGGGCCCCAGGGGAGGCTGTCTTCAGTGACACATATCACCAGGAAGAAAGCTGGGCATGGCCAGCTTGGGCAGCCTGCCATTCTGCGTTCTGTTGGGATGTTTCATTTAACTGAGACAGTGGAGAAACTGACCACAAAAGCAACCATGGATGGGAGTTTCTGATCAATAGGAGATGAACCAGTTGAACGTCTGCATACCTACGCGAAGGCAAAGTGAACCCTGGGCCACATTCTCCTTCATAGACAGCCCCCCTCACCCGCCCCTTGAGACCCCTAAGGCAGCGCCAGTCTCCAGTATCAGCACATGTTGGGGGACCCATGTACATATCCAGAAGCAGTTCTTGGTCCCAATGTCATAGTAATGCTGCTGCCTGGGAAAGTACAATGGGGAGCACTTGATAGGAGACCCACGAAGCTAGGCTCCTGGGAAAAAGCCAGCATACAGGGTCCCTACCCTAACTCAGTGCTGGCCTGGCTGGGACAGGTGGGAGTTGGCTCTGCACATTGCAGGGCAGAATCGGAGGCCTGACTGTTCAGGTGTCCTTCTAGGAGAGTGGAGCTAAACAGCTGGCATGGCCAGGGAGGCCAACAGACCAAGAACGAGAGGAGAACTAAAAGATGGGTTTCCTCCAGTGTGCGAAGTTGTTGAAGCTGGACCAGGCTGGGGGGAGGGGACTAGCCAAAGATGCTGAAGCCATCTTTACTGACCAGACATGTGTGAGGCTCAGGTCTGCCGTGGCAACAACTTGGAAGCCAGCAGAGAGGCAGACTCAAATTCAAGCCCTGGAGAGCCTTATAAAGAAGGCTGTATAACACTCTGGGGGCACCTGTCATTCAGGAAAGGGAGCAGATAGCTGGGCTGTTGCCTGGGACAGGAGGCTGAGAGTGTATCCCAGACTGGACAATGGGAGACGGTGCAGTGTCAACTGCCCCGCTGTGCTGCCCAGGCCTTTCTAGATTGTCCTCCCCACCCCATCACTATCTCCGTGATGCTGATCCCACTCCCTCCTCCAACTTCATGGATCTACAACAGAGCTACAAGAGCCCTTGGAAATCAGAAGATTGAATAAATATCCAAGAGGCCTCCACATTGCAAGTTCACTCTGAGGAGAGCTAAGCAGCCACCTCAGCGCCCATTCCTGGGGCAGTAAGAGGAACCAAGTCAAATCCAGAGTGTCCTACTCAGCACAGAATCCAGGTCAGTTTCCTGGACCGGTTCTTTAATACCAAAAATTCCTCTCTAACCCACAAATGTACAAAGCAGGCAGGATGACAGGGTGCACTCCTTAGTGACTCAGCCTCCATCCACTGCCTAAACCCATCGTCCGTGTCCCAACCTCCACCAGATCTGGGCAGAAAACCCTTCTGCTGTCCCTCTGGACACTGGCGGATGCTACTCCCCGTGGGAATTCTGAGGACAAAAGAACAAATGGATGACACCAGCGGCTTGCTAAAGATCGAGTGAATCTTTGAGCATGAATATCTCTGTCTTCTTCCCAAGAAAGAAACACAGGAACTCTTGCCATTGAAACAAATAAGCTCCAGCTGTTAAAAAAAAAGCCCAAGAGAAGCACTCCCTTTATGAGCATTCAGCTGGCGGTCCGCTGGGCGATCAGAGGAGGCCACTGACGTTCCACCATGGGCTGGAATGCCCACCAACACTACCCAGAGGTTTGGGCTGAGCTTGACCCTACGTACCTCTCGCCTGGACTTCTGGGAGGACCTCTCGAGGATGTCGTCACTGGAGAGGTCCGAGTCCTCCGAGAAGCTCAGCTGGCGCCGCAGCTGCAGCTCTAAGGGGACGGAGAGAAGAGGCAAACCAAGGACACCACGGTGCTTTCCCAACTTCTGCATGCACATGCGCCGCCCAGGGGAATCGGGGAGAGGGTGGACTTCTTCCCAGTTTGAAGGGCTCTTAACCTAGGCCAGGGAGCCAGGAGCTTGGAGGCTGACCCCTGTGCCAGCAGGGGCAGTGCGACCACTGAATATACAGTGTCTGGAGGACAGCCCGCCTGGTGCCTCCCTGCAGTGCCGCGCTCCAGTGTGCTCAGAATCAGGCCCTGCTCTGGGACTGGGTGACAGGAGCACACACCGCCCAAATCTCCCTTACTCAGTGCCAAGCTGGGTTTTACAATGATTCCATCATGTGGAATATGCCCTGTGAGCCCATGGTTCGGCTTCCTTCTTGTTTACCCCGTTAGCATCGCTCCTAAGAACCCTCAGGCAAGCAGCAGGAGAAATGGATCTTCCGAGAAGAACTGGTGGTGGAGGACACACCCCTTACGCCTTGCCCCAGGAGGGGTCCCCTGGTGCTCACATACCTGCTTTCACAATGGGAGACATCCTATGCTTGCCCGAGTCCACAGTGGCACCGCTGGAAGGGGTGCTGGAACAGGACTTGTCATCGCCCTTCTTCTTCTTGTCCTTCTTGTACCCAGAAAAGACTGACTTCCACAAGGACTTGGGCTTGGCAGTGGCTTCCTCCAGGAGGTTTGGGCTGGGCTTCTCTGGGGGCCGGCCCTCACCTTTGGACTTCTTCTCTTTCTTGTTTCTGCGGGGGGAGAAGAGTGACGATCTCTTCTTGCTCTTCCCACTGGAGCCCTCGGATGAGGTGACCGAACCATCGGGGCCCCCTGAGTCCGATGGCGGGGAGAGGACCTCCTCACTAGTGGCTTCGTGCTTCAGGGTGGGCTCCCTGGGGCCTTTGAGAACTGGGCGTTTAGGGGACTCGGGGCCGAGATCTTTGCCTTTGGAGGGAACTGAGGAAGCTTTGCGGGAGGTGCCTCCTGGGGGCCTGGAGGTCCCAGCTGCCATCTCCATCTCCTTCATCCTACTCAGCTGCTTGGCCATAGCGTCTCTCAACGCCTGGCTCTTCACAGACTTCTCCCTGGCTCGCATGCGCTCCTCAGCCAGTTCCTTGGCTTCTGGAGAGACTACGGGCAGGCCCCTCTTCTGTGGTTGGACCCCACTCTCCAGAGTAGGCAACCTACCATTCTCCTTGGCTAGGGGTGGGTGGAGGTGCCTCTCCGTGCGGGGCCAGTAGGAAGGGGGTGTGAAGAACTTCTCCTGTAGACTCGAGTCCTCTGTCTTGTCATCATAGGTATCCTCCACGTCATCGGCAAAGGGGATCTCGTCCACACTCTCCACAAATGACTTCCGCACCTCCTCTCGAGGGGGCTGGGCAGGCTCTCGGGGGGCCCGCATAAAGGAGGCAGGTGGTGGGGGTGGTATCACTGAGGCCTTGGGCTTGGTCTCCTTATGCTCATAAGTCTGATACGGCTTCCTTCGAAGAGTTGCAGGCTCCTCATTCTGGGGTGGGGGTGGGGGTGGGCTTGAAGGTGGAGTGAGCATGGTGGAGTCCGAGGTGTTGAAGCTCTGGCTGCCCAAGGTTTTCATGTTGGAGGAGCTCCCATGAAGGCCCAGCCCAGAGCTGCTTGACAGATCTCTTTTCTCCTCATGGGAGCTTTTCAGCTCTCTGTCAGATGGGGACTTGGGGGTTGGCAGGGAGGGCTGGTCACCATCGGGCTTCGGCAGGCCTAGCCTCTTAGGAACAGGTGGAGGTTTTAGAAGCTGGAGCCCCTCACTCTGAGGAGACTTCTCAACTGAATAGGATTTTAGGGACACTGGTTTAAAGGTAGGTGAGGGGAAGCTGGACTCAGACACCTTGCTCCGATCTATAGGGGTAAGCCCGAGGCTGCGGCGGATCTCAGCGCTCTTCATCCAGAACTCTGCCACCAGGTCGTTCCGTTTCAGGGCCTCATCCACAGCTAGAGGGCTACCCAGTCTATCCTTGGTGTCCCCTTGGTTCTTCAAGGGGAGGGAAACCACAGGGATGGCTGTTTTGGCTGGAACAGGCTGGAAACATATGGGGGACTTCGTGGGGGATGGGACAGTGGCCTCAGAGGAAGGCTGAGGCTGGGAGCAAATGGGGAGCTGGGTGGTGGTGGGGGTGGAGGTGGCCAATGGTGACAGGCGCTGTGTGCTAACTGGGGAGGTAGGTGTCCTGGCTTCCGGCAGAGCCACCGGCTGCAATCGGATAGGAGAGCGCACAGCCCTCTGGTCAGTGGGCACTTCTGCTTTGGGCTTCACTTTGGGGAGCAAAGGTTCAGGGAAAAGGCTGTCCTCAGGCAATTTCACCTTGGTAGCAACAGAGACAGGTGGGATTTGGGCCCCCTACAGAAAAGGAAGATAGAAGCTGCTTAGAAGGAAGGGTTCAATGGTCAGAAGAAACCCACTGGCAAGCTCTCTCTCAAACGGCCTGTGCTTATGAAGTAAATTCCTCTCCCTCTCCTTTAGGCTGTCATTGAAATGGCTCCAGGACACACTTTCTCACTTTCCACTCTATTTGTTCAATCTTTCAAGCCACTCTACTTTGCTCAACAGACTCAGCTTTCAGGGTTTGGTTCATCTCAAACACATCCTACATTCCTTGTGCACTGAAATGGACACTGCCCAAAGCACACTGAAGAAGCCAGATATCCTGACTATGGACCCCAAGAGCTCTGATGTATGAAGACAGAGGCCCACATGGTAAGATTTAAAAGAGCTATTTTTTTTTTTTTAGTCTATACTACAAATTGTCCTTCCCAGGAAACTCAAAGATCCATATATTCCAGCACAAGTTCTTATATCACCCACCCGTTAGTCTCAGCAAAGCTCCCCCAATTTCATGAATGAAATCACCAAATTCACCCTGCTTCTTAGAATCTCAAAGACCAAATCAGGCCAACCCAGGTCTTGAGTTTGGCCTCCTTCCCAAATCTGTCCTCCAGATAGCATTTCCCAAAACATATTCCACAGGACCTTGTGGCGATCCTTTTACGTGCCATTCTCCAATGTGTGGTTCACGTACCACTGGTAATCTGGGTGGGATGTTTTCAATTTTAAAACTCAGTCAGACGTTCATTTTACACTAAGAAACAAACACATCTGTCCTATCAAACTGATGATTCCACCCAAATTACTGTGTTAACCTAAAAATAAATTTACTTTTGAAATGGTATGGTATGATAGAAGACTGACACAGTGGTGGGATGACTCAGATCTGGGACTGGTATAGCGCTGGGTTAGAGAGATGCTGCCTAGACTGCCTTGTCCTCATGGTGAGGACTAAGCTGGATCCCCAAGGCAACTCCTGTTTTTAGCAGCTCCACTAAGCACAAGAAGCCAAAAGATGGGTTCACAGCAAGGGCCCTAAAACGAAGAATTACTATATCCACTCAGGGTCCCATCAGTTCGTCCCCAACAATGAGCCCTGAGCCCTTACCTCTGCCACAGGGCTGTGGCTGGGGGAGAGCAGACCAGTTTGCTCCTCTGGGGATGGGGCAGGGCTGGGGACCTGGGCAGGACCTGAACAGAACAGACAGAGGGTTAAACAGGAAGTACTTCCCCCCTCCCCTGAGGGTTCCTCTCCCAGCCAGCTCTGCTGGGTGGGGGGATCACTGTCTGCCAGCAGCAGGAAAGTGCATTCCCACAGAGTCCCTGGATGCCACCTCTGCTCACGCTGAAGTGTGGACTTTTGTTCCTGTGTGTGTGATCTGTGTCCAGCTTGGAAGTGTACCTCCTACCCTTTCCCGGCTCCACAGCACACATAGAAGGGCCAAAGCTACATGCAGGGTCCACGCCTGGGGCAGGAGGACAGCAAGCAGAGCTGTTTGCCATTTGCAGGCTCTGCTCCAGGTCTGCTCTGGCGACCTGTGTCCCGGGGGCTGTTCTCATCCTTGCAGTGGGAATTCTGGAAGCAGCTTCTCCTGAGACAAGGCACTTACTTCTCTCCTGGTGCCCTGGTGTGGGGGCAGGTTGTTCGTCCTCGTTTTCTGATACTCTCAGCTCCAGCTCTGCCTCCACGGCTGCCTGGTGCTGCATGCGAAGCTCCGTTTCAGCATCTGATGGGATCTCATCAGACCAGTGCTGATCTACCGGAGGGATGGGAGAGCACAGCCCACCTGAGTGAGGGTCTGCTTCTTTCTGAGTCTCCTGTCGTCCCCAGAAAGCAGCCAAACCAGCATCATGGCTTGAGGTCTAGTCCTGGCTCTGTGCCCTGGCTGGGCCCTGCCTACTGGTCCCCGCCAAGCTTCTGAGAGACTCGGCCCAAAGTCTCTGCAACATGGTGCTCTCATCAAAGACTGCGGTGCTCCATTTTCTTTTTAAATGCCCAAGATGGCACCCGATGGACCAGAACAGAAAGAAACATAGGGCATGTGCCTGTGAAGGGCAGGCCTTGTTTTGTGGACTCACCAATGGTCTGTGTTTCCCCCAACACCACAGCAATGACCATGTTCCTTCACAGTCTTGCCTGGACTCACCTCATTTCTCCCAGGCTAGTCCCTGCCCCTTCTTCCCCAACCAACCAGACTATGATTCTTAAAACACCATCCTCTTGTAGCTACCTTTCAGAGGACATCCACTGAATTGGAGGCCCTTGTCTAAAGCACCCAGTCTGTTCAGCTTCTCAACTACGACTTACTGATGCAGGCTCTGCTGGCTGCTGGCTTAGGGGCGGAATGAGACACATCCCAGTTAGTGCCAGAACAAAGAACGTGACCAGGAGACTGACTGCCTTGCTATTGCTTTAATGTATATTATCTTTCCTGAGGTGCAATCACACAGTGGGGAAGAGGGTGGTCCCCACAGTGGAGAGGGGGAGGCTCTGGGGTCCCCCGTACCATCATCCAGCTCAGCACCAGTGTCCCCTGTGTCCCCATTCTCCGCAGCCTCCCCTTCTATCTCTGCCGGCTCCGAGTCCACATCTTCCTCCAGGTCATTCTCATCAAATGGGACTGTAAAGCAGAAACGTTCAAAGGAAGGAAGAAAAGGACAGATAGACAGACAGAGAAACTGCCTATGCCAGTGTAAATGAGTGGTGGTCTTCCCAGGGCTGCAATGCAAAGACCTCGAGAAGCGAGGAGATGGATTCTCAAGTGTCTGGATTTGAACCCCACAGCAGACATCAGCCAGACTTGGGGGGGCTAAAAGCAGTGTGGGTGCTGGCGAGGGCCCGGAGCCCTTCCTGAACACCTGGGACTAGCACCGCCAGGTCTGGGCATCAATCCTCCTCCCCAGGGCTGCTGTAAGCTCCTCAGTGTGAGGTCAGAGGGGAGACACTGCTTCTCCAGGCCCAGCAGATACCCGGCTTTAGATCCAGCAGCAACAGCACTCTCTGGATCGCATTACATGGCACAAGGCACTGAGTCCTCACACTGACACTCTAGAGGGACTGGGGGAAACCGAGACTACCTGCTCATAGCCACACGGCCCCATCTAACAGCCGCAGTGCTGTCAGGTGAAATCCCGAGTGACCACCAGGACTTCTGAGGGCACCTACCTTCCCTCTCTGACAGCAGAGGTTGCAGCTCTAGGATCATTCAGAGAAATGATTTTTTTTTTTTAAAGCAAGAGGGAGAGGTTGAGGGGATATGTAAAGTTCATTTTCTAGACTCAAGAGTAGCCTTTCGGTGCTGCAGAACGAGGCAAAGCACTCGTTGACTTCATTTTCCTCAGGAGGAACCAGCCCCTAAATACACACACACACATACACACACACACACACACACACACACAAACTCTGCACACTTGGAACTCACACTAACAGTCTGGAGTACGAAAAGCAATTAAGAAAGCAACATGGGCTCCTTTAAAGGGTACTCTGAGATCCCCATGGTCCCCGAGACTGACACTGCCCGTCTGGCAGGGGTCCTAAGGGCTTCTTCTAGGGTCTGAAGCACAGCCACTCTCCAAACAATCCTAATGGTTTTCGCTTCAGAAACAGGAGTTATGCTTAGATCTGCAAATCCAAGAGCTGGAGATCCAATCCCAAGGGGGTTGGGTGGGCAGCAGGGGCACTGGCTGTGGTGGAGCTGGGGAGATTTCTTCAAAGGTGGTGCCACGAGAGGCTGTGCAAGGACCAGGTCCTCTCAAGTCACTGGTCTCTTCACTGTCCAGCCTCATGAATCTGTACCCCTGCTATGGTAAGCATGTGCACGGTGAGTGCAGACACCAAGGTCTCAGTGTGATAAAAATCAAGAAACTATCTCTGGAGGTGGGGTGGGGAAGACAAGGAAAGGGGCACTCTGAAGATGATGCTGACTTGCCCTAGTCATAGGAGTTTTTAATAAAGATATTATATACATAACTCTTTGGGGCGCCTGGGTGGCTTAGTCAGTTGAGTGTCTGACTCTTGATTTCGGCTCAGGTATGATCTCAGGGTGGTGAGATCGAGCCCCACATTTTGCTCCACACTGGGCATGGAGCCTGTTCAAGATTCTCTCTCCCCCTCTTGCATGTGCCCCCCACCCTCGCTTGCTGGCACAGTCGCAGACACACACTCTCTTTCTCAAAAAACAACAACAGCAACAACAACAATGAAAATAATTCCTTAAACTATATAATTATTTTACCAGCCCTTTCGTACACTTATTAAAAATAAGGTGTGACTTGCATCTAATTCCGGAGAACCATTCAGAATGGACTATGGGGAAAGATGAAAGAGTTCCAGAATAAGTTCTAAGCTGGCAAATAGTTAATGTCACGCTCCTAGTTTGAGATACCAGAGCAGCCCGTAGAGCTGGTAATGCCACGATGCTTTCCTGTGATGGTGGCATTTGTTGGGAAAAATACTGGGGGTAAAACTACTCAATTATTTCCACAGGTTGAAAACCTTTGTGGGGTAACATTGCTGTTTCAGTTCATTAAACACTAAGTAGTGGGATTTCTGAGGATCACAAAAGTCTATGCCTCCTCAAACCTGAGCTTCCTACGTGGATAACGATAGCTCATGGTTTCATGACACCATTTCTGAAGAGGTGGGGACACAGACGCCTCTCTTCACCCAGCATTTTTCTCTTTTGGCTGTCACCCAACCCAGTGGAAATGGAACAGGGCTCATCCCGTTAGGGACCACTGTGCTCAACATGCATGCTCAAATGAATCTATGAGTGCTGGGACCTCAAGATGGTAATTTATACTTCTGTCGGCAAGTGCACCAGATGTGAGAACAAAGGAGACCACGACAGGACTCCAGTCACACTGCCCCATGTCAGCCTGACCCCAGCCCCAGTGGTTCTCCGATTCAGAGCTGCTACTAAGAAATATCTGTTGTAGAGTCAGAAAGATACTAAGTCTACAGTCCTTGGGAGCACCTTGAAAGGAACAATTGTCACATATATTAAAAAAACAAACAAGTGAGAAATATCAACGCAGCAGCAGCAGATACTGGAGAAACACAGCTGGAGGGATGGAATTGGGAGATTAAACCCAGGTTAAGATGGAGAGCAGAGTGCTAGAAGCTGCCACACACTATGGAAGCTGAAAATCATAGACATACGTAGCTTTTGCTTTATTTCAGCTGCTAGCGAGGAAGTCCTGACACCTCGGCCTTCTCCAAGCATCCTGGGAGACCTGACTGACTTAACTAGGAGGGACGTGCAGCAGCTCTGTGCACAGGGCTAGGCTCTGGCTGAAGGCCCAAGCTCTCCCTGTGGCTCTGTGACTTGCGTGCCTGTGTCCACTTCTCCTGCTGAGAGTGAGGACAATGGGCTGGGCTGGTGGTAAAGATCCATGAGCACCGATCCTTCCCACCTCAGAAGCAACCACCAGGACCCGAGTTCTCAACCGGGGGGCCATGCTGCCCTTCTTCAAGTGGAATTTGAGAGTGTGTAGGGCTTTTTTTGGTTGTTGCCTGGATGGCTGGGGCTGCACGGCTGACATTTTGAGAGCCAAGACCAAGGAAGCTAAATGTCCCACAATGAGAGAGAACAGTCCTGCCCTCGCTGAACACTGCTATCGTCTGTGTTGAGAAACACCGCTCCAGCAAAGGTCAGGAAGGACAACTGAGGTTTCTGAGCTATCTCCTGGTCTAAGTATTTAAAGAGACCCCACATCTCAGTAGGTAGACCCAGGGGACACTACGTCTAGTTATACCCAGCCTGTCCCTCTACTTTGAGCTGGACAATATCCACCAATCCTCTGTTCCCCCCTCATCACTAGGGAGTCTTCCACAAGTCCCCTACTACTGACTGTCTCCTCTGGACTTCTGTGGGTTTGTGGAATATTAACTGATTCCTCCACTTTCACACCCAATTGCTACATAACTTAATTCCTACAGACTTTAAAAATCACTGCTAAAAATGCTCCCTCAGATGTTGCCTTTACTCAACTTTTATTAATAATAATAACAATAAAAGTTTAGTCAGTTCTGCCTATGCTATCGCTCTCCAGATCTTCCTTGAAGGGTGTGGGGTGCGCGTCTGGTCCATGCAAGGACGGGCTGCCTGAGTGAGGCATGCATGTGCCCCCCCCACCCCGCCAACCTTGGCATGCACGAGCAGCAGGACCAGAATTCTAGTGTTAAGGTACCAGCAGAGCTGCCGAGAGAGAGTGGTTATGGTGAGTGGAGAGCGAACAAACATCACCAGACTACCTCCGGAGACTGTCTCCAGCCAGGCCTGCACGGCTGCGCGGCGTATGGAGGGAAGGTCAGGCACTGAATTTAAAACAGACGATAGATACAAAGTTACACAGGAATGTGTGGTCCCCGTGAGGAGAGCTGAGGTCATCCTAGAGCCCCCAAACAGAAGAGAAACTGAGAGACATTACAAGCCAGAGGCCTGTCAGCCAACGACGAGGGGTCAGAGTCCTGTTGTAAGCCTACAAGATGGGTATTCGAGATGAGAAAAGGAGAGAAAACACAGGGAGGGTCAACGGCGGCTCGAGGCTGCGGAGCCCATGGCTGCAGGCCAGTCTGATGTCTCTGGTCAACAGGGTCTCTCTCCTCACTTCCGCTGAGTATTTATGCTGCTGCAGAGTAGTTAACAGAGGTTGGTCTTGCCTATAGGTGAAGACTTGGGGCTGAGATCACATGTCCCAAAGGGCTAAACTTCAGGAAGGCAGGGAGCACCCGTTTTATCTACTCAGCCTTACAGGGTATGTGGCCCCATCAGGTGCTGAATGGAAGCACGAAGACAAATGAGTGAGAGACAGAGGTTGATGACACCAAGGTTCCATATTTGGACAGTGGGTATGCTGAGGTGGGAAGGTGTGGAGAATGACATGGCAGCTGGCCTATCTCTCACCAGTCTCCATGTTCCCTTTTTATTGCTTGCTATTCCTTGAAGAAGTCAGGTTAAAGTTCGTCTTCACCCTATTGTAGAACACAGACCATCTCACCTGAGACCTAGAGCTGGACATTATACTATCTACTCTAAAGGCCTCCTGGATCTAAATATCTTCTTAAAACTTCATTTCAGTTCAAAATATACTGCCCCACCCTGTCCTACCAATGTACATTCACACTCAGACACACACCACACAAGGAAAGCACCAGAACATTTTACCAAGTGGACAGAGTAACCCTGTCTGGTCATACGGGGACAGAAAGCAAAGTCTTGGTTTTCCCAAGGTCAAGTTCATTTTACTATTTTGCATCCACGAAGAAAGAGCTCATAACCTCTTAACCTATAGAGAACTTTACATATCCTCAAACAATAGCTAAGGGTAGTGGTCACAATTAACATCAGGAAAATAAAATGGTTCATTGGCTCTTACGTTTTTATCAAACTGAAGGTTTTGGTCCTGACAGAAGAGTCCTCTACAACAATGAGAGGGGAAGGTGCTCTGAGGGGCACTGGGACCTTGGATTTTGAAACAGTTACCTCTAGAAGTGGAGGACTCAGAGGTTGGTACCATTCGCTCCTCCTCCTCTTTCTCTCGAATATGTGTCCAGTGCACATCAGCCTGGATCTCCAAGGGGTCGGCCGGATTTATGATCTGCTGTAGCCTCTGGCTCCCGACTAGAGTACCAGGGTCAGAAGTGGGCGAAATGAGGAAGGGAGAGATGATGGAGGAAGGAAGCAGAAAATAAACAATCAAGGAAAGGAGAGGATGGAACACCACAGGAAAGGAAACAGAAAGAAAAGTTACTGTATTTGTCAGGATCAGTTTGAATCAGAAAAAGGCAAAAACTGAGAACACACACTTGCGTGTACACACACACACACACACACACACACGATTTCTACTTGTTCAACTTGATTTAGTTGTTTTAAGCTTCACTTATACTGTAATTTCAATAAAGAGAACCATACATTACAACTCCAAAAAGAACTCTCCTTTCTGATGCTCTTTTCATCTTCTCTGCATTTGAGAGACCCAAATGCCAAGTCAGAAAAAAAAGAAGGTTACAACTGCCCTCCGAAGGGCCATCCTTCTAGGTCCTGAGTACTCAGCTCTGTTACCCAGCACAATTTGAGATCCTAGAGAATGCACCATTCATGTCCCTTCTGTGTCACACAGCGTGGTGCTTACCGCCACCTGTCATGCTGACAGCTTCTCCTTTGAGATTCAAGCCAAGTGACAAGAGAAAAGTGGGATGGGACAGTATCATTCTGTCAGGAACCAGCTAACTCACGTAGGACAGAAACTTATTGGTTGGTCCTTTAGTGTTTATCTTTTGCAGTTAGAGAGAGAGAAAAAAATCCCCCTTCCGTAATAAGTCTCATGCTGCATGCTGGTCTGTGGCAGGGACACGGCTATAGGGAAGAAATGGAGTTTGGGGAGGCAATGGCTGGGAGATGAAGCAGAGCTCTATCCTGTAAATCCCCAAAGCTTTGGGAGTTCGTGGGCAGGAATAAAACAATACCTCTTTGCTTTTTCTGAGGTCAAGGCCCTTTTCCTTAAAACTCCATTTGGTGCCCCACTGCTCCCCTCTGGACACAAGACCTGCCTTTTCAGCTAAAGGAGAACTGACCAGCAGCCCTTCCACTGATTCTTGCTGCCAGAGCCCAAGGACTATACATGCAGCCCCTGCCCTGTAAACTCCTTGTCTTCAGAGCTTGGACCATGCCATACAGCAGGGTGAAATAAAGGGACGGCCAGCAACTTGGAGAGGGGACACTTCAGGAGGGAGGGTGGCTATTCAGGCAGCAAGAGCAGGTGCCACCTGATCTGAAGGACTCTGGGACTCCTGATGGGAGTCCACTCTCAACAGTCTACCTGGACAGTTCGGCTTTGGCTTCCCTACCACACAACCTCTTCATTTTTAAGCAATGGAGAATGTGGTCTGGACAGGAGGTAACAGTAAGAGCAGTGAATGTGGGTGCGGGCAGCGTGCTATGTTAAATGTGGGGTGGTAGGCCTGCATGCACGCTCCCTTTGAACCTGATGGTCTCCACAGATTCGTTTCCTCAGGTCAACCGGCCTTTGCGGTGTTGGATGGGGCTGAATCACAGCAAAGTCACCCAACAGCTCGAATGGCAGACGACTAAGGAAGGTCAGTCAGAGAAAAACGTGGACCCCGTCTTCATCTTCTAAGCAACAAAGAGAAGACAGTGAGTCTTCTCCCCAGATAGTGTGCTGCTTCCTGTCATAAATGTAGCCTTGGGGACCTAGCAGCCAGTTTTTCGGGGAAATGTGACAAGGCACAATGTCAGGAGGTTCTGGGCCCCTCTGCTGTGCCGGCTCTGCCACTTACAGCCACTATGACTGCAACGGGAGAGTCTCTACATTAGAAGGTGTTCGCTAGAGCAGAGGGCTTATAGCAAAGCATATGAGGGGCACAAACGGGGCCACATTCAATAAGGATGCTTTCTGGTGTCTTCTTCTCTGACTGCCCCTTGCCTCTCCTCTGTCTTACATGCTACTGTGCAGGTGACCATCCATGAAGGCTGGGCCCAGGGACAGGTGCCAAGCTAGGCATGTGCCAAAGCCTGTCAGCACAGCTTTATAAAGCACAGATCTTTTCATGTGGGACCTGCTCTTGAAGGCAGATTCTGGATGGCTGTTAGGGAGCCAGGGTAGAAGGTGGGCAGCGGGCAGAGCGGGTACCTTTACGTGTACCCGTAGCTTCTTCCTTTGACAGCTGCTGGAGCCACTGGCCTTGCAGGAGTTCTCTGTCCCAGGGGCAGTACTCCCCTTCTACAGCAGGGGGAGCCAGACACCCACAAACACAGCATCAAGAACCCCACATGGGGATAAACAGAGAAGAGAGAATGGAAGGGAGGAAAGAATAGAGAAGGGTTATCTTCAGGTGCAAGGCAAGAACATCCTGTTACTGTCTACACAGCCATAGAAGTCCACTGCCCAGAAGATACAAACACCATGGGCTAGGAACACAGGCCCCAGGGTTGGGTTGAATTTGTCGGTAGGTATCTCTCCAGTTAAATCACATCCCTGCAGGCTGCGTCTTGACACTAGTTCCAGATGCAGGAAATTAAGTCTGCAGGGACAAAAGCACGGCTAAACTCTCCTGCAAAGGGTACAGACTTTGACTGTAAGCTGTGTCTGGGGCTAAAGCCACCAAGCATATGAATCACCAGCTAGAGAGAATGACGTCTGAAATGATACAAACAAAATTCCTTTTTCCCGGATGCCCGGTGAGCCTGATCGCGCCCCCTGATGAACAGGGACGAGGGGACAGTCCTGAGACTGAGCCAACCATGGTTCTGCAGACACGGCAGATTGGAGAACTCAAGACACCGGCTTCCCGGCCCAGGGCCTGCCTCCTTCTTCCACAGATCTTACTCATTTCTCATCAGAAGGAGGGAGAGAGGGTCAGGCCACCAAGGGCTGCCTCTGTGGGCCTCCCCCAGCCTCTGTCTTTGGAGGGAAGAGTGCAGGAGAACTGGGTCTAGAGGAGCCCCTCAGGGGCCTGAGGAAGTACCTGGCCTCTGACCATTCACACTGGCATCAGGCAGCCTGGGGGCAAGAGAAGGCTGTCTTTCCTCTTGCCTGCCCTGCCTCACTAGGGTCTCGGAGTTACACAGCTCTCAGGACCATCTCAGTACCCTGTCTGGGAAGGGCTCTGCATCTGGTTAGCACTTGGACCTTCCCTGGGCCAGACTGGGGGATGGGATCTGGGCCCCCAAGGACATGGAATTCCAGGAGGAGCAGAGGTAAGCAGAAGAGTGGCAGAGAAATCTACTGCCAACTCGATGAGGCCCAGAGCTGTCCCAAATTAATGCGCTCCTCTGACAATGGCTGGGAGGGATGGGTGCTTTAAAGGCCCATGTCCTTCCCTTCTACCATGTGCCCTGGAGAGAGCATAGTTGTGAGATGACAGGCACTGCTGTCAGGGGAACTCAGGTCTCTACCTGCCCTAGTTTCTTCCTTACCACCCACCAGACTTCTGGGCAGCCAAGGCAGGGAAAGAATGAGCCTCTCTCTTACAGAGGCAAGAAAAGGAGGCCCACCAAGTTCTTCCTCATCACTCAAGGACACACACAGACAGAGATAGGGGCAGAATTGAAACATTTCAAGTTCAAGGCAAGAGAACACTTCAGAGCCAACCAGACCAAGTGCTGGAACAGATGCTCCTTCTCAGGACACTGATCCAGACACGTTACTACCTGCCACGAACTAAACCCTGTCTAGTGGGCTCCTAGCCCCTCCTCAGTGACAACAGCTCCGAGCAGAGTGAGAGTCAATGCTCTGCAGCCGCCAATATCCTGGACTCTGAGTCCAGGAATCCTCTTGAAAGTAAATTCCTTTTCATTATTAAAATAAATTTCTTTAACAGAAACTAAAGGAAAAAAAAGAGAGAAAATGAGAACAGGAGAATGAGTAATCTAATTTGGACGAAGTCCGTCTGCTGACCCTCTGCCTTCCACTTCCAATTTCTCCTCAGAATGTGCACAAGGGACATTATTTCCACTGTCAATGGAAATAATAAGGTCAGAGAGAGGCAGGAAGGATGATCTCTGGGGCTGGGGGAGGCACATCTATGTGTCAGACTCCCAGTCCGTGTGCAACAGAAACCTTACTCAAGAACGGAACAGGCTGCCTCAGGGGTGGGACAGGGTCAGAGTTAGGAGAAGAGATTTTTTTTTCTGACCTTCACTAGATTCTTCCTCTTCCTCCTCATATTCTTCCTCCTCCTCCTCCTCCTCTTCATATTCCTCTTCCTCCTCCTCCTCTTCATTCCCAGGGCCGTAGCTCTTTGAGGCCTCTAGTTCCTCTTCACTCTTTCCTTTCAGAAGAGCATGGATCCTCACAGCCTCCTTCCAAGGAACACCGCCCAGATCTGAGGGGGGCAGAGGGGGTTCCTCTTCCTCCTCCTCCTCCTCTTCCTCCATCTCGGACTCAGAACTGCTGTGGGGGAAACAACGACACAACCGAAGTGAATAGACAGTTAAAAGTCACAACCGGAGGCAAACTGTCCCAGCGAAGCAACTGCTGGGCAGGAAGGGGGAGAGGACAGGCACGGAGGGGTGCAGCGTGCTTCCCCACCCAGGTAAGACACATGAGGGGAAGGAGAGTGAGTAGAGGGCCAGAGGAAACACACACGTATGAGTAACCCCGACATAAAGCCACATGAGCCAACAGCCCAGTCTGGCGGGGCGCTCTGTTCAGTGAATAGCAACTCCACCAAGTTTAGTCTTAGAGGGCCTCAGAGACAGTAGGGGCACGGGCTCATTTTGATATGAACCCATGACCCAAGGGAATCAAGAATGGAGAGAAAGTGTCCTTTCATCGTGACCTATTGTTTGGTTTAAATAAATTTTTATTTATTGAGGACCTCAATTCTACTTGACTTGGGTGGGTTGGAAGGCTCTCGTGGGAACCACGGTGAGAAAGAGCTGCTTCCAAGAGGCCCGAACTGAAGTCTTAGCCACAGACAGGTTAGCCGTCAAGTGTGTGTGCTGGAGTGAAGGCCGTGCGTTCAGCTCCAGTGTTCCCGATGTCCCCCTGACGCGCCACGCCCGGAGTACGATACCATGGTGAACACGCAGTTGACAAGGCAGCAAAGGCACTGTCTGCTGAAGTTACAGAACAGGGAGTATGGGGAGGGCGTGGAAACAAACATCGCACCCCTGGGGTCATCACCCTTGACCACCAGCCTCGTTTTCCACCACAATTCTCCCTTGACAGCACGCAGCCTAGAGCTCAGCTGGAAAAGGGAAGTAGCACTAAATGCTGCGAGACACTAGCTGTGACTTATGCAAGCCCAAATCCTGGACCACCACCCTCAGAGCCATGGCCCTGGAGCATCTGTACCCTCTTCCCCGGCCGGCAGAGCGAGCTGTCAACAGGTGGTACAAGAATAAAATTCAATGCTCTACAACGGGACTGTAGAGCAGGAGAAAAACCCAAACATCACCACACAAATGAAGCTCCTCAGACCTATTTCACGGTCCGATAATTCCCCAAGTCTTCTTCGGGAGAGGCTCTGCCCTCAGTGAGAAATGTGTAGTTGACTGGGCTGGGGGAAATGTGGCATGGGCCAACCTCTGGCACAAGAAAGCCCCAAACCCCAGAGGCATCGCACATGAGGCTGAGGTCTTGGTCCCGTCTTCCTGTGACGGTGGGCTGCTCTCTCCCTGCCTGGAGCGGGGCAGTGCACGTGGAGAGAGCATCAGAGAATACAGTGCGATAAGGTCCATAATACCCCACCCCCAGCACTAGTCGTACCTGTGCAGTAAAGAATTTCACCTTGCTTAAAGAGATGGTCTGGTCTTTGTCTCGGGGCCTGAGATGTCAACTCTAAGCCCCTGGGAGGTCCTGCCTGATGGGAATGTCTTTATTTCCCTGGAATCCTTGGGTCACGGTGGACAGTCTAATAATGTGATTTAGGGGGAGGGCTGACCACTTACAAAAGACCAATGATTTAGGGTGGAGGCTTGAGTCTTATGGTATTAATTGGCCTGGAGACTGAAATCAATCACACCATGTAAAAAATCAGTCCATCAATGCCTAGGTAATGGAGCCCCAACAAATCTCTGAATATCGAGGTTTGGGTGAGTAATACTACACGGGATTTGTCACACATTAATACCAAGAAAGTAACACAGCCCTGACTCCACAGGGAGAGGACGATGGGAGCTCCATGTCCGTACTTTCTCGGACTCTGGTCTGTGCACTTCTTCACCTGGCTGATTTCAATCAGTATCCTTCCCTATAATTAAATCATAACCATGAGTATAAGCCTTTTGGTGAGTTCTGGGCATCCTTCTAACAGGTTAATGAACTCGAGGGTGGTTTTGGGAATGCCCATACTTCGGCCGGGTCAGAAGGGAGGGCAGTCCAGGAGGCTGTGCGCCCATGACTTCTCAGGTGGCTGATTCTCACAGGCCTACACTGGCTCTGCTCCTCAGCAGCTGTATGACCTTGAGCTGACTACAGCTGAGCTTCAGCATCCTTGTCAGTAAGGCGGGAATGTTAATACCTGCCTCGGAGAAATGTTGTGAAGGTCAGGCACTTTCCTGATTTTCATGTTTGTGTTACACTCTGGGATTCTGGCTATTCACGTATCTGTTTACTCGTTTACATGTTCCTTCGTTTATTCAATGAACATTTTTGAGTGTCTATTAAAGTTCACCCAGTAGGTACAAAAATAAAGAGAGTCCGTTCCTTACTGCAAGCAGCTCCCTTTAGTGAATGCTACTTCTTTCACTCATTCATTCAGCCCCCTTGAAAACTTACTGAGCATCTTCTACTTGTAATGCACTTCCTAGACATTGCAGAGGATACAAGGGTGACATAGAAAAGAGCCTCACTGTTCAGGGGAGATAGGATGCAAACATGGCAATGATAAAAGAAGGTACAACATTACTGTAGTGGGATGGAGGGTTGAGAGGAGGTAGTTTAAGGTGAGTAAATGTAAGAATTTGGGCCACAGAAAGCTTGGCATCTGGATTTTGACTCTTTTTCATGACTTACTTAGGTATTATTTTTGCCTTACTTTTGTGTTCTTACTTGTTTACTTTCTTACTACTTAACAACGTATAACCCAATGCAGATCACCTAACATCTTTCCAACATGAAATAAAGATAAGAATGCCTCCTATGCTCATCTTAAATCTTATGTAAATTTATTAAAACTTCACTTGGGCAGAAGGCAGGCCAGCTTGCCCTTCCTTCACAGTCAGGCACACAAGGTTACCCCAGGAGTCAGCAGACTCAACGGGCCCTCACTGAAGCTTCCAGGCTCCTTGTACTGCGCCCTGTCATGAGGGTGGTGGCACTGGGCTCCATGATGAGGCAACGGGGCCCCACTTACAGCTCTGAGTGCCACACTGGCTAGTTTTATGATAGCTCAAGGACCATGGGAAAATAGCAAGTGAGGCACAGAGCATAAAAAATCAGGTGGGAAGGCCAACACTTGCCTCTCTTCAACAGCTCTCAGTCCATCTCTGAGAGACCTGGCTACATTGCTTCTGGAAATCTGAGATAGGCAAACCAGACTTGCTCCCTTTGTGAAGCACAGATAGATGGACAGGTGTTGCCAAATGTTCCTTCCTAGGCCATCATCTCCCTGGGACCCTGGAGCCGTTCTCTGAGTCTCACTAGGCTCCTTATGTCATGCAAGATTCATAGCTCAAATTCAGTAGGCCCCGTCTACATTTTCTGGCTGTCTCCAGTGCCTGAATTTCTGGGTCTGGACTTTGAAAAGGCTAGGAGAAAGGGGGAGGAGGAGGAATGTATAGTGAGGCAGACCACCCCCGACCACTTGGGAGTCAGCCTAGAAACTTTTTAAGTGGGGAGAATTGCTGCTACACACCAGAACAAAATACAACACAGTCAACCAACTTCTCTGTCCTTTGGGAAGAGGGGGTGACCTCTCACTTTATAGCTTCCTAGGAGAGACGAGGGCCAGAAAATGCAGCCCTCGACGTCAGCATTCCGTCATGACGTGTCTGTTTCTGCGTTTGAAACAATCAATTGCTTTTTGTGACTGTTTGATGTGGGTGGGCCCCCTGGACTGCGTGCTCTCTGAGAGCAGGGACAGGTCTGCTTGGCTCGCTGCAGGGCTTACCATGGGGCCTTGCACAGTCCAAAGAGGCAAAGCCAGGGCAAGCTGCTGCCTAAATTCACAGGTGTCATGGAGATGAGACCTCTGAAGTCCATCAATAGGAGTACACCCTTTCAGTTAGAAGAAAATCTTGCAAAAATCCTCCCTGCTATGATACTTATCCAATCCCTGATCTTAAAGCACTTTCCCTGAGTTTCTTCTCATTGAGGCTATGATGGAGCCTGGAAGGAGGAAGCCAGACCAGCAGGCATGTGGACAAGATTCTAAAAAATCAAGATTTGCTCCACACTTAAATGTGCCGAGTAGAGATTCTGCCATGCCAGGAGGGAAGGACCAAGGATAGTAACAGTGATGGTGAACGCTCCCTGAGCTCTAAGAAGTGCCATGTGGCACAAAACACTTCACATGAATTAGGTCATTTAATTACCCATTAACTCTAGGACACGATAACTCTAGGACTCTAGGACATATTAATATCCCCATTGTCACAAATGAGGCCAGTGAAGCTTAAAGAGGTTGGGTGAGAGGTCAAGATTCCCACCAATGTTCACACCCTTGTCACACTGCGCCCTCTTGGATGGTTCACCAAGAACCCAAGAGTTCTTTAGCCACTGGCAGCTGTCAGGGTGCCAAACCCAGGAAAAAGACCATGACCGTCTCCTGTTTGCCTGGGTCCAACTTCAGAAAGTGGAGACTGGAAATCTGGGCAGGCCCTACGGTGACTGAGGCAGACCGCTGTGTGAAATACCACTTGAAGTTCTTGGGTGGTTTTCAAGGGAAAACAGGAAATCGTGGCTTTCATTTTTAAATGAATCTACTCTGGATATCAGAGTGCCCACTCCTAGATCTCATCTGCTCTAATGACTGTATAAATACTCCACCGCTCGGCACACTGCTGGAGAAGATGGATATTGTCCAGCTATCGTGGCATGATGGAAACTTAATCCGTGCTGAAAGCAGCATCCTGCTCAGCGACGGCTCCCATTACTACCTCTGCTGGAGAAGCGGTGAGGAAGAGAGAGGACCAGTCAGGAATTTCCACTTATTTGTGGTCAACCTTGAAGAAGGGGCTTCTCCTTATTGCGTTACTCCAATGGAGGGCCAAACCTCTTCCGTCACAACTAGCCGTCATAAAACTAGCACTTGCCCGTCATGAACTTTTGGGGAGTCCTCTGTGACCTGGCTGCTCCATCTGGAAAGGGCACCTGGTTGCTCTAGCCCTCACTGACTTGAGGCCCTCCCCAGATGAGTGCCGCCCAAGCCATCTTCATCGCCTGGGATGAAGTTGCCAAGCAACTAAAATCATAAAGCTAGTTTTCCGGGTGCCTGGGTGGCCTAGACCATTAGGCATCTGCCTTCTGCTCAGGTCATGATCTCAGGGTCCTAGGATCGAGCCCCACATTGGGCTCTCTGCTCAGCAGGGAGTCTATTTCTTCCCCTGTCTCTCCCTCTGTACTCTCCCATTCTCTCTCTCTCAAATAAAGAAATAATATCTTATATAAACAAACAAACAAAACCCCTAGTTTTCTTTTGTCTTCAGGCACCTGTTCTCTCCCAGAGAAAATAAAAGTACTATTTCTAGGGTCTCCTTTGGAAGATGTTCCTTCCTCCCCTACTCCAAGGAAGGGTCATGGAGATAATCAGGTCTGGGCCAGTAGTCTCTGCTTGGGTAAACTAAATCAGGACACCCACACAGTGTGTTTGTTCAAAACAGGTACTCCTGGTCCCCACCCCAAGCCCACCGACTCAGTTACTCCAGGGGAGGGTCCAGGATTTACTTTCATACCAAGTGTCCCAAGGTGGCCCTTATCATCAGGGAAATTTGGGAGATTTAGAGCAGTGGTTTGCAAAGTGTGGTCCCTAGACAACAACATCACCTGGGAACTTTTTAGGAATGCAAATCTTGGTTACAGACAAGTACCCAGTGTGTGTCTCAGTGTTAATGGAAAGCCTCCACCAGTCTGGGAGACACCATGGGTGCTCCCATCCCAGAAGCCCTGCAGGACAGTCTGACTGATAGTGATTTTACTCCATCTTTCATCTTGTTCTCTATTGGTGGTCCTGATCATCTTCCATGGAGCACTCTGAATCCTGTACTGACTCTGGCAGACCTGGGTAGTAATGAACATGAGGCCCTGGGGCAAAGACAGTGGACTCAGGAGGCCTGTGGGGGCTGCAGGGCGCACGTTCCCCTCAGGCATCACTCACTGAGACATCATGAAAACGCTGGCATGGCCACGCAAAAAAAAACACTGGCTGTGTCTACGGTCCCTGGGACACAGGCTTTCTGCTCCACTCTTTACCTCTTTACCTTACTTACCTTCCATCTCAGCTAGAGGAGGAAGGAAGAAGCCTGGAGAAGTGAGGTGGCTTCCCTAAGATTGCCGGGCGACTTGGGGTCATAGCAGGAGCCCCTCATTCCAACCCTGACACTCCTGCCACTGACCCAGCGCACTGCTTCAGGCCTCCGGTTGTCCCTCTGTGCATGGCTTGTCCCTCCAGTGAACCTGTCAACAGCCTCAGAGCAGGAGTGGGGACTGTCATTTTTGTTCTGTTACCTTCTCGATGAATGGCAAAGTGTGACGTGGATCCAGGAAACCTGAGTCTGAGTCTTAGTCAACCCTCGATCCTAGTATTAGTCACCAGCAGTCTCCGTAATTAGAGAGTGATAAGATGTATGCTCTGGCCTACTTCACAGGACTTTTGCAAGGATGACCAAGCAAGGTGATGACCAAGTGAGGTAATGGATACAGAAGTCCTCTGGAAACAGTCCGGTGCCATGCAAAGGGGTAATAAAGGCAACTGCCATCAACAGGCATGCCACGTACTGTTTCCAACGCTTCTTACTATTTAACCCTCACAGCAACTGTGTGAGGCAAGTCCTAGCACTGCCTTCATTTCACAGATGAGGAAATGGAGGCACAGAGAGGTTACATGACTTGCCTAGTGTCACATAGCTGGTAAGTGGCACCCAGGTCCCCTGCTGAGGATACAGAGCTGCCTCCCCTTGTAGGCAGGTACATTCATCTGGGGAAGGGGCTGCCAGGACAAACGACAGGCATGAAGCAACACACAAGAAAACGGGCTGCAGCCCCCGGGCACAGGCTGACCTGCTGGCCACATCTTCCTCTGCGCCTTTGTCCAGCGCGCTGCTCAGGTTGTGCTCGGCCTGTGTCTCCTCGGGCACCTCCTCCAGCTCCTCGGCCAGTTTCACAGACAGGCGGTAGTTCTCCAGCTCGATCCGTTCAGGAGTGCCCCTGAGTCTCTTGGCAATGCTAGGCTCTTCCAGACCATTCACACTTGAACCTGTAAGACAAGCAAAGTGGCAAAGTTCCATGACAGGTGATGGGAAATGACCACAGGTGGTGAGGGATGGAGGGGGTATGCGGGGAGGGAGGAGGCGCCAACAGAAGGATATCTAAGCATCCAAGGCAGTCACCGCTCATTTCAGTGAAAGGAGGGATGGGGGCCAGACAAGGGGAGTCCATGAGGTCACACAGGCCAGGAAAGGACTGCAAGGTGAGAGCGGCAAGTCTTCCCTGAGCAGGAGAAACAGGAAGACGGCACATCTGCCCTGAGATGACTGCCCCAGTCATGCTCCAAGATGGCTGCCCCAGGCTGACTCTCCTCCGTCAGCCCTGAACCCATGCACAGCGGAGGGAAGAGGTGACGGTGACTGGGGAGGAGGAGGAAAGGGGACTTGGGTTGGACCCTAAGGAGGAGCTTCTCACCGACCACGCCCACCTCAGCTTCCACTGAGAAGGAGGGGTCCTGCCAGCTGCCCACCCCCTGATGACCCAGGACCCAGTCAAGGTTCATGCACTGCTTCTGGCTGATCCATGGAGGCGTCCAGGCTAGCTGCTTGCAGAACTTGTCACGTAGTGGGTTTGTCTGTCTCCTTGTCATTAGATTCATGGTAAACACTTCCCATCTAGGAAGAACACCACATGGGTGATCCTGTGCCCCTTCCACTGCACACAGGAGGAATATGGTTGGGTTGCCTCACTCTTCTTTAAACCTTTCCCCCCCATATTTATTTATTGAGAGAGAGAGAGAGAGACAGAGACAGACAGAAAGAGAGAGTACAAGCAGGGGGAGAGGGAGAAGCAGGCTCCCCACTGAACAAGGAGCCCAATGTGAGACTTGATCCCAAGACCCCGAGATCATGACCTGAACCAAAGGCAGACACTTAATGACTGAGCCACCCAGGCACCCAGGTTGTCTCATTCTTGGTGACATCAGCTTGACTGCTTGGTTAAAGTGGTGCCCAACCATCTTTCTGTTGTAAAGAGGTATTTTCCCCTTTTGTAATTAATAAGTAATCCATGGGGTGATACGTAGAAACCATGAGACTATCCTACCCCACTATCCTTCCACCCACGGGTTTTAGTACCCATTGATGAATAGGGATTTTAAAAATTGTATCATTCCTTCTCCATTGTCATTCTTTGCAAAGAACTTTTCCCATTTCTTTTTTTTGAGTACCAATATGACTTATGGATTTTGAGAAACTTAAGTGTTGTATTTGCCGTGTTTTCTTCATCTCCTTTAATCTGGAAATTTCCCTGTCTCCCTCCTTATTAACTCCTTCATCATTATTTTTTTTTTATTATATTCAGTTAGCCAGCATATAGTAGTACACTAGTTTTTGATGTGTTCAACGATTCATTAGTTGCATATAACACCCAGTGCTCATCACAACACGTGCTCTCCTTAATACCCATCATTATTTTTTTTGATGTGCCTTTTTATCCCAGATTGGGTCAGAAGAGGCCCACTGTATTTATTCTTTACTCTACGTCTTCACTGTAATATGACGTAGGTTTATATTTAGCGTCAGACAAATCCAGGCTAGACACCTGTGACCACGAGTGACCTGAAGGATCTTAAGAAAATTATGTAACTTCTGAGAGCTCATTCCCTGATCTATAAATGAGGACAACCCTCAACTCCTAGATTATTATAAATACAGGATGGAATTATATACATGTATACGTAAGTACGTGTGTGTGCCGACTCCGCATGTGCCCGAACCCATCATCTTTCTCTTCTACTTAAACCCTGCACTTGGGCAGTATCCAGCAACTACAGGTTAAGTGCTATAACTGATGTCCAGTAACATTCTTAGCACTGGTTTGTGTGTATTTTTGTGCAGGTAGGTTGTGTCCATTTGCTCTGGACTGCAAGCAAGAGTTACCTGACAAAGATGGGAAGAGAGTTCTGGGCAGAGGGGAACAGCGACAGTGGTACAATGGCCTGTAATGGCAGGTTGGTATTATTAGATCTTCTAGTGGCAGTACTCTTAACGCGGTAGGGAAGAGGAAGAGACCGGGGTGGGAATAGAGCCCACGTGGCCTTTGGTGACATTCTAAGCTCTAAGAGATGACACTGGGCTTTAGCAGGCAACATCATATTGACCTGGTGTTGGGTGACAGATGGGCTATCAGGGGAAAGCCAGAATCTCTGTAATGTAGGACTAAAGGAAAGCAGTGGGACTATTGAGTTAGTAATTTTTGTGACACGACAGGTCCACAGAAAATATTCTGGAAGCCTGGCACTTTTGTTGTGTACAATGTTCTGGACTTCTCTGTATTGTCATTAGAAAGAACTTTCTGTGTGTCCAGGCAGTCACAGAATGAAGTCTTAGCATACCTGTCAGATTTATCCGGATCTTCCACCAAATAGCATCTTTCAAATTTACTAGACAGCCTTTACTATAAAGTAAGACCCAGGGCACATTTATCTACGAAACTTCTAATGATGGGGTCATGGCATGAATCCCTGGGCTCCCTAGGGCCCTGTGCAATGCCCACCTGTCCTAGTTTTTATAAACCCCATTGGGACATTTTATACATCCCTGGTCCATTCTTCAACGCGGACCTCAGGGCCCCTGAAGTATAAGCTATGATGTAGGATCAGGGCATCTGGAAGAATAGGTAGGGAGGCAAGGGAGCACAGCAGGTGGAAGCCCCTACAGCATCCCCCACACCTGGCCCCCAGCTCTACCCGAATCAGTTCATCGTTTCCAAACAGCTGTCTCCCTGTTGTCTTTTGCTCCTTCCCCTCAGCAAAACCCAGCACGATAAACACGAGAAGGCTAAGGATCCCCTGACTAGAGTATCATTTGATATTTTCCTTCCCATCATGTATTTTTGACAAATGCCCTTAAACAGAAAGCAAATAAGAAAGTGAAATAAATGTGAAGCCACTACCCAAGTATAAAGTTTTGGGGAACTCCACAGATAAAGAGTAAAAACCAGTATATCTTCTACCTAGGGAAAGAAGAATAGAACAAGAATGATAACTTCAGGGAAACAAACAACTAACACTCATCAACTCAGATACAAGCGATTTCAAGGTAGACTGAACAAACATACTCACAGAGAGAAACACTCCAGAAGTGACGCCTGTTTTTAGCGGGTAAAAACCATACCGTTTGCCAGAAATTCAACTAGAACCTTGGGAAACAAAGCAGATTTAAAACACTCTCTACTCTTAAAGAGCTGTAGGCTAGTCACAGAAGAGACAGTCCCGCTCAGGGGTCTTTGCAGTGTGCTGTATCCCATACCACAGCTCATGCCGCACGGTGGAACTATGGGAGCGCCTAAAAGGGCAGCTCCACCCCCCAGGGGAGTCAAGAATGACTTTCTGGAGGAATATGGTGTTAGCCTAACCAGCTTTAAAGAAAATTCGATGAGCTAGGTAGTAGTTTGCAAATGAGGTAACTGAAATTCAGAGACATTAACCAACCTGCCCAAGGTCACAAAGCTAGTGGGCAGTGGAGCCAAGATCTGAATCCAAGGAGGGCAGCGTTAATCCACACAGTCCTGTTCTGCTTTCCCCTTTGGGACTCCTCACCGTTGTCTCCTCCCCACTATAATTTTCAAGATGAGGGACACAGAACTATATGAAAGCATCTTAGAGCACAGGATCTGGCAATCGCAATGACATTGTCCTCCTTCCAGAGTTATTTCTCTGGGGTTTCTATAAGCTCTGTGGACTAATAGATCAACAAGTAACAGAATTTGGCAGACCAAACCCAGAGTCCGGGGCTTTAGGGAGGGGAAATGTTGACTTAGTTCTGGCCTTGGCCACAATCAACAAAAGCGAAACGAGAGGCTCTCAGAACTATTCATATCATTCATACGTCAGTCCCACAGAGAAAGGATGCTTTTTCATGAAAACTGTTAGAAAGGTCCCACTGGAGAATTGGTAAGAACTGAGGTGGAAGGAAGAGAGTCGCCTCACTGTTCCAGTCTTCCTATGCCCACTGGGTCCACGTCCACATGGAGCTAGACACACCCAGAGCTTTGAGCAACATGGGCATGACATGACATCTCCCTGAGGGCCAAGGCTCCAGGGAGGTTCTGTTTTCCCAAAGGGAATGTGGCACCTCAGAGGATACTCGGCAAGTATCCAAAATTCACCAACTGCCAAAATATGCTTAACATTCCTAGCCCATAACCTCAAAACGCCACAGGGATTAAAAAAAAAAAAAATCAAGAAAAGCAGCATGTTTGGTTCTCTGTGATATGCAAGGGGCTACATTAACCAGGTGGCGATGATAAACTACAGTATCAAAAAGGAAGGAAGAGTGGAGGGGGCCCAGGCAGTTGCTGTAACAGTGACAGACGCAGGACCTCCCCATCTCTATGAAGAGAAGGGCACGTGGAAGCAAAGGCTATCGGAGCACAGCTGTAAAAATAGCTGACAGATGTGGGTTTGGCAAGTGAGAGGAAAAGCAGTGGGGTCAGGCTGCCTGGCCAGGGCCCACCTGGCCTCCACTTCACACGCTTCAGCGCAACAGCAACTACACGGGGACTTTCCAGCTCAACACGGGTGAAAGTTTTGAAATGATTTCCAAGGTTGCGTCCTCACTAAGTCAGATCTCAGGTCACTGGAGGCCAATTCCAGCTTCACACATACCAGAAGGAAACGGCTCCCAGGATCTGGGTCATCTCCTAAATAGGAAAAAGGCTCTGGGCCTGACCCCAGGGCTCTGTTTTGGAACAGTCACTGCCAGCACGAGGTCCATACATCATCCCGAAAGAAATATTTTTCCTAACAGAACAACCTGCTCTCAGCTGATGTGCAAGAGCTGCCAAAAGCAGTTGTTTGTGTCTGTCCGATTCCTGAAGGGATGCGAGGGACACGATGACACTGAAGAGGCGGGCCCTCCCAATCCTCCCCAGGAGGCTCTTCTTCCCCCTTTCCCTCCTGCGGTGGTGGCCAGCAGCCCAGCGCACTGAAGGACTTCAGGTGATTGTGAAGGATGTCAGCTAAGAGACTGGAACATCTGAGGGCTT